AGAACGTATTGTTTTTCATGTTAATTTCGTGGTATGGTTATATAACGGCATTATTCCCGCTTTGTTCTTCCCAGAAAAGTTAACTAGGAAAGTATTGAAAATGTGTGTCAGAATTGTGAATGGGCCGAAGGACACGTCAGCGGGGATTCTTTAACGAATGAAGATGGATTTATTAGTCATAAAGTGAGCCTCCTGCGCAGTTGTCTTCTCACCTTCCCTAATCAATTCGACCATACTCCGAAAAACTCAACCTACGTCAACGAAACAAATTTGCCGCTTAGTTATTTGTTTGTGAGCACAAGGCGAATTACAGCGAATTCAGTGTCTCAACAATACCAACGTTGGCCTCCAGAAATATGTATTTGTTGAAGGTAATCTATTCGTTGCCCATACATCGTAGCGATTCGTATAAACTTTATCAGAAGAAAATTTGACAATTTTTACTTATGAGACCTAGAAACCAGTGATGTGCCTGTAATGTGATTATATAAAGTCATTTTATGATTAAACCCTGTAATGAAACGGGCGTTTCTGTAGTTAATGTTCTTTTCTGCTTTCAGGTCGTGAAAAGTAATCAAATGAATAGAATTATTTGTTCTCGAACAGATTGTAGCGCACGAATTGATTATGTATGAAGGGAGTAGCAAGAATAAGAGGACGAAGAAAAACGGAAAAACTTTCAAGGTTGTCTGACTGGAGAAACGTTGGCGGCCCGTCTGGCCCCACAACTGGACGTCGATCGTGCAATAAAAGCTGTCGTATATGCAGAATTAGGTTTCGCCAGGCGTAGAGATGCAGGGGCTGAGATCAAGAGAGCGGAGCTCTTAGTAAATTTAGTCGATTCTGCAATGATTCTTTCGATATGTCAACAACTGAGGGATGTTTTTGCATATAGAATTAAAATAATGGTAACTCGTTTTTAATGTTTTTTATGAAATTTTTGGAGAATTATGAGAGGTTTATCGATTTTCCGATGGAAGATCCTGCAAACTTTCCAGTTGATAAAGTTAGGTATACGTGACTTTTTTCTGCGCCATGGATTTTTTTTTTCAGTCAAATGCATTCAATGTAACTGATGTTTTTCACTTCAGCCCCAGAACACTTCATTTAGCCTTCAAAATGAGAATAATTTGGCAATTTATTGCCTACGGCACATGGGCTTCTCACTGGAAGCACATTAACTCACACGTGTAAAGTTGTTAGCCTGGATGTGTCGCAAGTTTTTACGCTAATTTATTTATTTCCGCTTTACAGAACCGTTAGCCTATGCCATCCTAATAATTCTTAGAAACGTATTCTGTTACAATTATTTCACATTTATTTTTGCTATAATTAAAACTTAGGTACGAATCTTTGCGCTTTCTTTAATTTTTATCTTATTAATATTTTAGCCAGTTCTTTGTACATACATTCATTATCACATTTGCTTTAATTTCTTTCCATGTTCCGTATATAAGGAAGAAATGATCGCCCTAAATTTCTATCAAATCGACGTTGATCGCACGACAGACACGCTGGTCCAGCGAAACTTGAATGCATTGCGACCACATGTGAAGACAATGCAGGGTTCACCGAGCTGCAAGCCTGCAGCCTGAGTGCGGGACGACCATACCTGGTATTCTTTATGATCGCCGTCTACTATAAAAACGAGAACAAGAATCCTGAGGCTCGGAGTGCATTCGCAGATTCTGATTTTTTCACGTAAATCGCTGGTACATGTAAACCGGATCTGAAAGGAAAGTCGTACGGGCACTTTTTTGAATCGCAACTTGATTTTCAGATTACAATTTGGTTGAAATGACATGAATTATCGTCAGAGGTTCAATAATTGCTAAATTATCAAGCATTTTATTGTTGTTTCTTGTATCATAGAAAATTTGCATTAGTAGAATGATTAATTTTTAGCTGGTTTATTTTCATCAAATACATTATTATGGGAACTAAATTTAGAAGTTTTATTCGTTATGAAATTTTTTTTCTGAGGAGTTTATTTTCATTGAAATTTTGAATATGGAGGCTTAAGTTGCCAAATGGCTCCTATATTACGTATGATGAACGACGTTTCATAATGTACGAACTACATGTATAAATTTCTATACAAGTAGCTTATACCTACTAAGCCTACTAGAAAATTTGAAACGTATTTTTTCAGAGGGAAGTATGGGTTATGAAATGAATTCCCATGCGCGTTATGGTCAACATTGCGTGAGCGTCGATCAAGCCACAATAACGGGATAAGCAAGATAGCGCAGCGCGTTCAAATACAGGGCCGCCCCCGGCCACACGTACCGTTTCCGCTGCACTACGGACGCTGTGCCGGTAACCTCCAAGTGAAAGCAAAAGTGGTCGCGCAGCTGCGCATTGCTTGGAATCAACATGAACCTAAACCTTGACTGCACCCCTGCAGTTGCCACAGAGGAATTATTTCAGCAGCATTATGTTAAAAAGCCAGAGCTGGAGAACTTGGCGGCCAAAGAGAACAAATTAGTTATCAAAGTAGGTTACGATAACTGAAACTTCGATTGGCGATAATTTGGGGTGAGCTAATGTTATGCAGAAAACGAGGGTAATTAATAATAACATAAGAAATCAGTGAATCTAATTTTTTATGAGTCGAACGATGCTAGGAATGAATAACCTCATTATTTTTGAGTTACGGAGAACGGAGTGATAGCAAACTATCAATGTTCTGAAAGCTAGAATGCCGGGAAGTATGCCTCATCACAGTGACGGAAAATGCTGATCCATTTTTCTATTTGATAATTTCGCGGTAATCTTTTACGCCTGAAGTTGATCATTCGAAGTCACTATGTAGATTCATGAACTTTTGGAATACTCGAATGACGTTTGATGTACCATAATATGTCGTAACACCTTTCATTAACAATAAAATATACTAACACAACAAGAAAAACCTAGTAAATCCAACAGTTTTTTAACCTCTGCTTATGGCACACGAAGGAATGCACAGCCCTCTGCTCAAGAGCCAGCACGCAGTAAATGGAATATGTGTGTGAGGCGTTCACTTTCTTTTGTTCATTAAGTACGGAAGTCGCTGAGCTTTGAGAAATGAACTGGTGTTTAAGTGGAGGACTCGACTCGGTCGTAGCATCAGGCAGCTCGACTCTAGTCGTAGCTTCAGGCAGCTCGACTTAGTCGTAGCATCAGGCAGCTCGACTTAGTCGTAGCATCAGGCAGCTCGACTTTAGTGGTAGCATCAGGCAGCTCGACTTTAGTCGTAGCATCAGGCAGCTCGACTCTAGTCGTAGCATCAGGCAGCTCGAGTCTAGTCGTAGCATCAGGCAGCTCGACTCTAGTCGTGACTAAACTTGACTAATCCGTCGAATCGTCATACATATTGATGTGTAAACCCGTAAATTAGGATCTTTTCGGGAAACCGTAGCTGTCATTTAACTTATTCTTTAGTTCAATTTAATTTGTATCACTTTGTATGTGATAATTTGTTGGGTGCATTTAATTCTTGCTCTCTTTTATTCAAGCCTTCGCTTTTCGTAATGAAATGGTCCATGTTCCTCACCAATTTTCAAACTACGAATTCTCAAGAATTTAACATCAGTGGTATTAGACTGATGGCAAACTAGTCAATTCGGATGTTTCCTCTTAATAACTTTTATTCATTTTAAAGAGGTCAGCTCAAGGAATAGCAGAATATGTCTCAGGACAAAAGACAGCTGCATCCTTGACCTTTATTAAGCAGCAGGAGTAAAAGCAGCTGCGTTCAATGGCTACAGGTGCAGGCGCCCTATCTTTACGACGACGCTTTCGATGTCTTGAATGTAGCAGCGAACTGGGCCGCTTGTTGCTGAGGCCAAGTATGAAAAAGTCAGCCATTGATATACAGCCAGGGGATGAGGCTCAAATTCAATGTAACCTTCAGGGAAGATCATGTGTGGCCTGCAACGAGCTAGAAAGTTTTTCCCCTGTTGCTTTCAACCATGTTCGACTGTCGTTGCAGTTGGCAAGTTTTGTCGCTCTTTTTGTGCTAAGTGGCCACGCTGAAAATGAATGTGTCTATGGTTGTTTGTCTTCAGATGTATCACTTCTGAGGAACTTGAACATAAGGGCGAGAAGCATTCGTTTAGTCAGACGTTTTTTTTCAGTGATTGTCATTAACATCTGCTGTCCGTCAGAAAATGAAAACCCATTAAAATTCAATTCCTTTTTGTATATTCTATTTAATCATAATGAATAATAAAGTAATGCTTACGAAACAGAAACCTGGTGCGAATGACGTTACTGAATGTGTGAAGAGTCCAAAGCTTTAGCCCAATATTTTTATTACTCCGAAGCCTTTTGGATATTATTATTCGAGATTGGCGACATGAATATCTCTACCTCCTGAAAGCGCCTTGATGCTTCTAAAAAATTATCCACGAGCAGCTAAAGCAAACTCTGTTTTGTCCTTAAGTATTGCAATCACAGTTTGTTCTGGCTCTCATGTTTTTATAGTCAGTCTTCAAATATAACGCAGAGATGAGCGTCTCCGAATGGGCTGCAATTTAAGAAACAATGCACAAGGCTGGGGCGATGGTTTCTATAATGACTCCAGAATTTGTAATGAGTCAACAACCCTTTTTTCATTGATCTTGGTAATTTACAGTTTGCCATGCAACATGGAAAGAATTTATCGTGCCACTAGTTTGAAGTGGAATGGTTTCTGGAATATTGTTCATTTGGTGGTTATGAATAACCTCGTACATTCTGAAATTGACGTCATCTAAGTAATTTCTGCTCTATATTGAGACTTTATATTTTATTATGTCACACCATATAATTAATTTCATCCTCTCATTGACATTTATTATACATGTCGTTATCATGATGATGTTCATTTTAAACTCTTAATGTATAATATTATTTTATTCCTAGCACTTTTTATCTCTGTCAAGCAGTATCCTAGGTTTGCAAAGTCTGTTTTCTTCACTACAAATATTTATTACTATTTTCGCTGAGGTTTCTAACGTCCATGTTGTGTGCAGACACTGGAGCGTGTGCGCTCTGCTGGTCATCATGTCAGGCGCGTTCCTAGTGGTGGGCGGAAGCTTCGAGTTCGAGACCGGACTGCTGGACTTCTCCATCACCAAGGCAGACGTCAGTGCTGCCGTCGACGATGCTGTCTCTACGCTCAAGTATCTCGTCGAGCAGCGGGAACCTGAAATTTTTAGTAGTGGTGAGTAGAATTCATGTGACAATAATGAAAAAATAACTTGAATGATTTCAATATTTTATGGTTTCTAATTGTGATGAGTAGACTTGAAGAGACATCGATTAAAAGAAACCCATGATTCAGAAATTATTCATTCATATTTTTCCCTTGGCCAACGTTTCCATGCTCAATTTTTCCCCATTCGTTTCGTTATTCCATATCCATTTATTATGCAAGAAATGTACCATTCGGCATTGTCAAAAATCGGATAGCATAAAAAAGAGGAATTCCCAAACCCCAGAAACGAATTCGCTTTATTTCTGGCTTTTTCATGCAACCTCTGAATCTTTTCAGTTCAAATTAAAACGATTCCACCCATAACTTTGAAACCGAAATTATAGTTTTTATGCTCATTATTAACAATATTTTAGTGCTCCTTTGTTGGATGTAACGAATGGAATTGCAATGATGGAGGTTCTACATGGAATGTTAAAACCTCGTTATTCGGCTACATTGAGACGTATTCGTAGCATGTTGCCGTGTAACTTCGTCATTATGCCGTGTGACGTTACGATTGGACTGTGTGTCGTTGTGTTTATGCCGTGTGATGTGATCATGCCGTGTGACGTTGAGATTATGCCGTGTGATATTGTTTTTATGCCGTGTGACGTGATTTTGCCGTGTGACGTTGTGCTTATGCCGTGTGATGTTGTGTTTATGCCGTGTGACGTTGCTGTGTGACGTTGTGGTTATGCCGTGTGACGTGATTATGCCGCGTGACGTTGTGATTATGCCGCGTTACGTTGTAATTATGCCGTGTGAAGTTGTGATTATAACGTGTGATGTTCTGATTATGCCACGTGACGTAACTTGTTGCCAGTTGACAATTGGCAGTGAATCATAGATTACCAAAGATTATTTGGTTCGGACTTGATAAATGGGTTCGCAGTTCGTAGATAGGCTTCAAGTTGTTGAATACGATCGCAGTTGACGGATCCGTTCTCAGTAATTCATTTATTCGCAGTCGGGCGTGTGTTCGCAGTGTTGGTTAAGATGGAAGTACTGTTTATTTGTACTGCACAAGTTCGCTTGGACACACTACGCGCATCTCACCGTGACAGTTATCCTGCTCATCCCTGAACTGCGCGTGCGGTTGAGCAATGCGCGCACTACAGCGCAGCGCTGCTTGCCGAACCGTACGATGTCCAGCGCAAGAGCTCAACGTGCACTGAAGTTCGTATGTCGCCGTGGGATTTTAGTCATCCTAGAGAAATTGTTATTGCAGAAAAACTATTTATGAACTTTTTTTCGGGATGATTCATGAACGGCTTTTAGAGAATGACAGAAATTTGATCGAGATAAGTCACGAATTGGCCCAATCTTGATTTAGAATAAATTTACGACTAAATTTATATTTTAAAATATAAAGCCGTGTCGGTGAAATAATTTGATTTGGAATTAAATTTTAATGTACTTTTCGTAATAAGAAAAGAAAAGTTGATTGAACCATTGCATTGTTGAATTATCAAATTAATGCAAAAATTATAGCACTCTATTCTTCTTAGTTGGATTTGAGTCGTAATTGGTGAATCATTTCGTAAACGCTTACATCATTTGCGGAACAAACGAAGTCTTCAGATTAATTTAAAATTCTTCACGACACATCTTCAAGTCATTGTGGGGTTCAGGAATGCCGAGGGATCTACAGATGGCGGAAAATATATTGGCAAAGAAAGTAAATAAATGCGTACAATTATTAGTTATTGGTTAATTTATTGGCCTGAGCATCCTTGTTAAGGTCGCTCGATAAGACCGAATGTGTTATATTTTTTTCTCTAATCACAATCTCGATCAGATGATCGCAACGAAAGAATAGCGCAGATCACTGCAGGTTCTCCGGATGTAGTCACCAGTTTGTGTTCAAACGAAAGTAAATTGCATTGCCGTACGCATTCCCGTCAACAAAGACTTTCCCTCTTGCCTGATCTCTGCCCCGAATCTCTTTGTCCTTAAGAAGGCAGCGCACGCGTGACTGACTGCAGTGATATGCTGGTCGGGCCCAAAACTATGGCAATTTCGCCCTTACAGTATTAATTGTATGGGCGACGTTGGTGATGGATCTACATCCTTAACCAAAGAACACAAAATAGGAGTGACAATCATAACTTTATCATGCTATGCAAAATTGTAGCATTTTATAATATTCAATAACTTCGACGTGTTAACAAACCTAAACTTTGATGAGAACTGCCGAGTGGAAAAACATGACGGTCAATTGGATAAATTGCACGACTATTTACTACATGATGTAATTTTCCTGTCTTGATTGCCGTAGGTAATTTCTGATAATTCGTAAGTTTTCTTCTGTATCAAAGACAGAATTTAACTTCGATTGGTACGCGTTTTGCTACATCTTACAAGTGTCGAATAGAAGATAGAGCTTCAGTCTTTTGACTTCAGACTGCTCTGAAAACTTTAAATTATCTGTGCAGAAGCTCAAGCGTTTTTTATGCAAAATTATGCTAGGTATATCGCATGCAAGGACTCTCAAGTGTGAAAAACTAACGTCAACACCTTCAATGGAATTACAATTGCTTTTCTTTGATTGTAATTATCCGATGCATTTGTAATGGAGCTCATGTAACAAAATCAAAATGACAATTAGAATCCTGGCCAATTTTTTGTCTAGCTAATGGCTTCCTAATGGATGTGCACAGAATAACAACTTAGGCTAATAAAACCATGACTTGTTTACGATTCTTTTCTAGTAGCATTGGAAAAACGCACGGTGAATATGTGACTTTGAAGGTCACACAACTAAGTACAATTTTTTTATCGTTATTTCAAAAAAATTTAGACTTTGATTATAAATTAAAATTCTGGCACCAAATCTTTTACATTGATGTTTCCCGATTTCGGTCCTCGTCAATAATTGAACTAAGTTAATTATTGAATTTCGGCGGAAAAAGCCGGCTAGGACGAACAGAAGTTTGCCTTCGAAGATCCTGAGGTCATTGTCAGGCCGCCTCGGTTCGTGTTGGGCCAGGGAATTCGATCGAGCCCTCTGACCGGAGAGGTCAGCTGGGACTAACCTGTTGAGTTCGAGCCATCCACGCAGTGAACTTTCTCTGATCTTTCAACCTGGCGCATTGCTCGGTAATGGAAGTGAAAATTGAAATGGAATTGAAAATTTGCCCTGCTTTGTTCATGAGAAACTTGCAGCTCGAAATTATTTTTTTTTCGTATCATCGATCTTTTTGCACGGCGGAAGTATTCGCGTTTTGAATGTCTATCGCTTAATATTGTCAAGTTTCTGAAATTGATTGACAATGAAATGTGTAAATAAAAATTATTATCTGTCAGCTTCTAGTATAATTTCCAGCGTAATAGCTGGCATGGTTGACTTATTAGGGTAATTTCAACCAGCAGAAATAGTATGACTCCTGCCTAACTTGAAGCCAAAAATGAAGTACTAAACGTACCCGCAGAAGCACATGACATGCACGATTACACCGAGGATATTAACATACCCACAGCGTCATGTAAGTTGCATAATTATAACGAGGTAATAGACGCACCATTGGGAGCACTTAAGCTGAACAAGTATTAGGAGGTTATAGAAGCGAGAGAAGAAGCACGTAAGTTGCGCAATTATAACGAGGTAATAAACGTACCCGCACGTGAGCTGCACGTCCTTGCCACGCGTGGATGTAGCTCGTCACTTGCCTGCCCACCGCAAGGATCTGCCAGAGCCACGCTTTCACTTTCACCTTTCGTTCCTTCCACTCAGGCTGACTGTTCAATAGTTATTAATTTTACTAAATTCCATGTGTTCATGTTCGAATTTTGTCTATTATGCTCCTAATCAACTGAAATTCTCAATATGTGTCGTGGTTCGCAGTTTTATTCATGAGAATTTTATTCATCTTTGTCTCCATCTTGTTTCAAATTTGGTTTTGATTTCGCTAGGAAAATATAAATGAATCATAAACCATCGTCTCGCTCATCTCCGCCATACATGGATAATCGGATAATTTTTTCACGCTGTAATATCTGTGCTTTGCTTTTCTTGTTTTTATTCCATCTTGTGTGAGGATGCGGAATTTTACACGCTACCTGAAATAAATTTAAACGGATGTTTTACGACCCGCCCGAGAGCAATAATACTTCTGCCTGTATAACTGCACATTCTTTTAAAGCGGTTGCGATTCTTTCATGTGCTACTTTATTTTTCTTGCTTGAAGTCCCGGCCGAAAAAATTCGTCTTAGAAACTCATCTTCTGAAGGCAAGAACGCGACTTCAGCCTCAGCTGCAGGAACAGCTTGTCTGCACTGCTCATGTGTGCCTCTTCAATTATAAAATTATTGTCGAGTCATGTTCTTATTTGCCAAAATGCCATTAATATAAACTGATTTGAATGAATGAAATTCTGATATAAATTATATCTAAATTTTCAATAATTTGATTATTTCAAGGTTTCATTCCTGGATAAACCTAATCATACTGCTGCACTTGTTTTGATGCTTTAATCACTTACAAGTCGAACGTTAAGTCTTTGTCACATTATCTTGAATTATAAATATGAACAAGCATTCTAATTGTGGTAACTGCTTTCTTTATTCTCTCTAATTATTTTGCAAGAACATATTGTTATGCTCTACTTATTGACGCCTATTTTTATTCACTGCTGCTGAGAAATATCAACAATCAAATCACCGCAGTATTTACAACACACCGGGGAGAATAGTTGTTCAGATAGTAAAATGTTCATATGGTGAGCATCCATATATGGTCATGAAAACATCCGGTGGGGGTTTTTGACTGATGAAAGTTTTACGTAAAAATTTGAACCTGAAACTTCAACGAAAGCACGCTCGTGTTGTTTTCCTGAATTGTGCACGATTTTTCGCTCGCGCGCCATGCGCATGAAAGTCGCCTAGTCGAGATGCCGCATGGTACAGCTACGCGGTGGGTCGCAACTCTCGCTGGGAATGCCTTATACGTCACTGCGTGGCCCGCGTGATAATCAAGAAACTTTCAGCCGCGTTATAATCAAATGAGCTTTCCGTATATAATATACTATACTTTAGTGGTCTGTTACTCAATGCACACACAAAGCAGCACTAAAATTTACATTGTACCTTGATTTTTTTATTGTGCTAAACAGGGTGTCAATTTAGGTACGGTGATTTTAGTCGCATATAATATTAATTATTCTGCACATGATGCCAGTGACATTTCAATGTAATTTGTTTGGTGAAAAATTTGATGCTTTGAGGTTATAAATTTGGATTCCATCAAACTTGTATGATAGATTTCAACGATTAATTGATATTTTGTATGTTAAAATGTATGCTATAATGTCTGTCAATGTAGTTATGTTACAATCAGCATGCATCTGCCAGCTTCTTGCACTTCCTCATTATGGGTGGGGAAATTAGTATGCTAATTATAAATGAGTGTGGAATTAGAAATCATAAACAAATCTGGTCATTTATTTTGAATAATTGCAATTTCGGACAGCAATTTTCTGCTGCGCGGGCAATCAAGCTACGCAAACACTCACTAAGTTCACTGTTTCGTACTCTCATTTGCTGTTCCCGCGCGAGGGAAGCAATCTTCGTAAGCGCTCTGTACTTCCGTGAGTTTGAGTGTAGATGTCGCTGCTGGAGAAAGGGGGTCTGCTTTTGGCACGCTCTAGAACCCGCTCGTGACTTACCGAGTAAAAGAATGAAGCCTTTTAAAACCGGCGGGAAGCTTGGCATTCGCTTAAGAGTGAAAGCATACATTTAGAGTTCCTCGAGTGGTCCTGATGACGAAACTGAAACGGGGGATGTTTATCTTCGGAACTTGGCACCTACTGTATTTATAATTGTACTAAAATTTTTCGTTTCAAGGTGTTCGCTAATATTAGTTTGGTATATGATGTACAATTATTGATTACGACTTTCATGATGTTTTATTTAATTTTTTTGCGTATTAATTCAATCCAACTTAAAAGTAAATTTGATTCCGAATCTTAAGTACAATTTTTTTCTGTGTCCAATTGGGAGAGAACTTGTTAATATTTTAATCATTTTAGATCTCTTACCTTATTTGTTTTCAGAGAGGGCATTAAACTTTTAGATTTTGTCATTAAATTATAAGCAAATAATCAAAAACTTTTATTCCTAAAATATTATAATACCACCCATGAATAATATATATTTTCACGTTTATTTACATAAACGTGAACGAATTTTCTCGTGTGCTGTGCATCTGTTTACTTTTTTCTATATCGTTCTCAGTTATTCAGCATTGAAAAAATTACCATAGTAACGTACATAGTAAAAGATGTTTCGATTTTCGTTAGTATCATCTATTTCATCGCTATACAGAACAATTTTTGTTATTAACAAAAGGATCAACATGATTGTTGTCAACTGCCGTTCCGTATACCTCTGAGCAAGCTTGCATTAAAATTCTCTAACGACAACAATACTACAGTTGTCAGTTGTTATCTTTATATGCAAGAGATTTTCCTATCAGTTTTACTGAAGTTATGCTTGATAGCGTCGGCTTCTTGATAAATGGTGCAAATTTGTTGTCTATTTCTTCTTGTGATAAAAGTTTGCACTGACATACCGTATGTGAGTGACCAGCGACTTATTCACTGAATCGCCAAAAGCCAACATTTATAATGTAAATTGTAACTACTACATAATGATAACGGTTCTGAACGCGCAAACGAAATACTATATTTTATCTACCCATACAAGAAAAAAGTATTCATCACCTTTACCTGAGCAGTACCCTCTATATAAGGGTTATACTATAGGAAGACCAGCCTGATCTCATTAGAAGAAAGTTACGTCACTGAACTCGTATACAAGTCATATGAGCTGGACTGCCTTGATCACTCGCTGGACTTTCATCGTCGCGATGATGTCATAGCGGACGGAGGAAGCTTTCATTGTGGCGTGCCGCGAGAATATTGCTGTCTTTGTACCTTCCGTGAGAATATTGCTGTCTTTGTACCTTTCGTAAGAATATTGCTGTCTTTGTATCTTTCGTGAGAATATTGCTGTCTTTGTACCTTTCGCAAGAATATTGTTGTCTTTGCACCGAGAATATTGCTGTCTTTGCACCGAGAACATTGCTGTCTTTGCACCGAGAATATTGCTGCCTTTGCACATCAAGGATGTTTAATGTAACAAAAATTTTTTTTTGTCCCAGCCTCTCTAGGCGCTCTTTATGAGCATATTATTTTTTTCACATCTAAGTCCAACAATTTGCAAAACTTGCCAAAACTGTTTACTGTCGCGAGCGTTGCACGGATTTTATACTGGCACGAAGCTGTCGTTGCCTGTGCGGCACTGGCAAAATTCATGGCAATATCGAGACGCCTTCTTATATGGTATGTAACGATGGCAGTGTGATGACGCATTTCCGTTACGATTGACAGCTTCACGTCACACTCAATAATGCTACTAATGCGACGTTGCAATACAATAAAATTCCTCAAAAATTTTTAAATCCTATTTCAGTCTCAGATTTGGCGCTGAGGTGTTCTATAGTGCGTCTCAAAAGACAAGCTATGACAAAAGTGCACGTATTATACAAGCTTATCTGTTTGCCAAAAAACTATTAATATCTCAATCTCGCGCATTGATTGAATGTTTGATGATAAGCGTTTTCTTATACAACGTCCGATAATAAACGCTTCCTTACATTTGACGTCAACGACGAGTGCTGGGCGTCAGATTAAAGGAAACGCTTATGATAAGACAACGAAATTTGTGATAGTTGATACACTCATTCAATTATTGACGTCGTTTCGTTTGCTTTGTTGATTAAAACAATTCAACCATATCAGACTGTTTTTTGAGAGTGCAAATAAAATATCAAATGACACTGGAAATGCTGAATTTTATTTTTGTATTGTTGACTAACTCAGAGCATAAAATTATTATTTACGGCTTTTCAATTTATGAATACGTTTAATAATTGAGTGAAAAAACAAAAATGACTATAACTTAAACGTTGTAAATTACATTTGAATAATAAACTTATACTCCTTCTCCTGCTGTAACATTTGCTTTAACTTTAATAATGATGCCAATCTCAAGGACAAAATGCTTCTTAATTGAACATTTAATAGGCAGAGATACGTCGTGCCATGGCTCGGAGATTTGCCTTCAGTGAAATTAAATGAATGTTACTAGAATTCCTGCCCGAACTTTTATATGGGAGCCTTCACTGCATTACCAGCTGTACAGGGCGACGAAAAAAAGTAATTCAATAAAAAGCCGCCAATTACTAATTTTATTAATTTTCGATAAAGTTCTGATGCTTTAGATTGTCTATAGGTATATATTTGTATTTGAGGACATAAAAAAAAATAACTATAAATCTGAATAATGAATGAAGGACCCAACGTTTCCGCGCCAATTATTATTAATATTATTATTATTATAATTGTTATTATAAAATATTCTACGAACATTTTGCACATATTGAGCTACTGATCCATGTGTTTGAAAGTGGTATGATAATTCGCTGGCAAATTTTTATTTTAAGACTGACTTCACAGACATTTTACAACTCGCGATTTTTAACGGAAATAATTTGTTTATATGGCTCAAAATTGAGCAATATTATTTGGTGTAAATCTTTGGAAAAGGTCCCGAATTTTCACAATTTTATGAACTTAATCGGAGACTTAAATTCTCTTATTTTACACTCAGTTTTCTAGGAAAAATATGCAACGAATGATTTCATCTTAGACGCGTTTACGAGCTGTCATTCCTACGCGTTTGTTTGAGGATTGTGCTTGTCCGATGCCATTATGTTAATACTTTGCCTGCTCCAATATATCACTGATTTAAATGCGCGAATCTGAGATACACATAAAAAATAAGCCATTTAAGCTCTATTTGGTGTCAAGGTCGACCAAAATATTCGCTTCTTTTGCATCACGTGCTCGTGCGACGCTGTGCCTGTAGATTGAATGATCTTGATAATTCGTTTTAATTATCTGGATATTGCTTTTAGTTATTGAAGCTAATACTTCATCCAATTTTATGTATCACTTCAGTACTATGCAGTTCAGGGATTTATTTGTTTGAGATATTCTGAGAACGCGCCAAGTTGAAGTAGATATATAACCTAACCTTATTACCTCATTATAATGGGTCTCCACTGCCCCAAGATAGTGGCGGGGACTTTATTGTAATCGGTGTCCATTATCAAATGCAACTGTTATTGGTCAAATATTTAATTTATCCTCCTCAATCTTATTCCGCCAAATATTGTTTCTTCGTTAATTATTCGTTTCCTAAAGAAGTTATTCATTTTTCGAATGCTTTATTCATGACAATTTAAATTTTCATTCAAGTATAATAGATTCAGTGCTTAATAGAATAGTTGTGTATCTCTTACTTCACTCAAGCATTGCTTTGGTTGTACAGGTGGTAAGCTGGGCCCAGACTCGCCTTCCTACCACTACTACAGTTTGCTGCTCGGCACAGAGACCACGCGCCAGATCTCGGCTGCTGCCTCCATCTCTGTAGTAGCCACGCACCTTCTCGCCGTGCGGTGAGTAATATGTTAGTGGGTAATGAATTTATGCCTGGTAATGACCTCGTAGCTACAAATTAAACGAACTAATTTACCAGTTCGTCATCGGTGTAGCTTTTACTGATTGAATCTTTTCGTCCAACTATATTTAATTGGTTTTAATAAATATTTGATGTCGTTAGTTCTTAGAAATATTGAGTGTAATTTATCACTGGACGGTATATATGTAATTTTAGGAAAACACGGCATCAGTTCACGGCTTTAGTTGTTCATAAATAGCGTAGCTTCCGACTCAAAATTGTGGCTGGCTTCAATTCCTGTATACGTGACTTGCCATAAACACAGATGACCCCTACGACCTTTACTCGTTTGAAATACAGTTACTGAGAGGAAATGTGACCAAATTCAAGAACACTCACGTTTCTATACCCATTGTTAGGTGCCGTCGAAATCGTGTATATGAATAAAAATATTTCTTGTTGTTAGGCGTCTACCAGAAGTTTATCTTGAGACGACGAATATATTATTGATGTGCAAAAATGCTAATTCGTGCGTACATGCAACAAGGAATCAAGGCAGTCTCACTATACATAGTTTGCTAGCATTCGATTGGGATTAATAGATTTAGCAAATATTTCGGTCGATCTTCGTATCAAACCTACCTATGTCCGGTACACTGTTAGAAAAATTACCGTTAACGGTATTACCGGCGTTTCAGTGGCCGGTCGGCACGAGAAAAGAAACACAGTGTCGCCGTTTTTATTCTCATTTAACACTAGAAATCCGTAAAACATCTGATAAAAACAGCGAAACTGTTTATTTTCACGGGGGCGACCGGCCACTAGAACGCCAGTGGGACCGTTGTTTCACCGTTTTTTCTAACAGTGTAGGTTTGATGATGACATCATCCTTGTACTGCTGACTTGACTGTCACTAGTTCAGTCACAATCATCTATATAAATATTGTAATTAGTTTCAAATTTATTATCTGTATTGATGAATAAATTGTCCTATCCAATATCTTGTATAGAGCTCACCGTAATTCCCAATCAAATTACACTTTGCAACTTGAAGTAATTAGTAGTTGTTCATTTTAAAAAGGGCCAAATTACAAAATAATTTGAAAATAAGAAGAGATAGTTAATTTTTAAATTATATTTCCTCAATGATATACATATATCATGATTCCAAGAAAAACTCTATTGAAGATCATGTTGATATCGCGATGAGATGGTCTCATGGATTAACGATTCACTAATCCCTGGGTATGTAAAATGAGTCTTTGAATCTAAACAAACATAAAATATGAAAAAGAATATAAAAAATTCAGTACATGGATTTTCGTAACAAATCTTGTATTCAATAAAGTTTACGAGCGTTTGAAACTCCGAAGCCGTATCATCCGTTGAACACTCGAACAAGTTTATAAATATTGTTTCTTTGTAATCGACTGTGAACGTTCACAAGTTTTTAAAACTTGTCTGTTTATTCTACTCATCCGTTATTAGAAATTAAGTTATCCACCTCGTAATTAGAAAAATTTTAAAATTATTATCCACCTTGGAATTAAAAAAAATGAAATATTTATTATCCACCTCGTAATTAGAAATATTCACAAGATTTTGCAAAGACATGCGAGTACTTTTACGATCAGGACCCATACGTACAAAACTCGCTAAGTGAACGTAAGTATTAACGCTCTATTTTCTTGTCTATGATTGGTGGATTTTGCTTGAAAGGCCGTCAATGATTGGCCGATGAACTTACGATCTCTTAACTTTTTTCGAAAGTATAGGCCCTGGTTTCTACTTTGATGTCATCACTTTGATGAGAATAAATTCGGAACCGGTCGGTTACAGTGAAGTGGCGACGCCTTCAGAATCTTGAACTCATTGTCGGCCTCAAAAAATTGGGTCTTGCAGTCTTGTAATGTTTGTTTGGATTTACGCCTGTCTGAGCCACGCCACGAGAAATTTTCCTTTGTTTATATTATTTGTATCAGCATTGAATCTCGGTATTTGTTCGCATCTCATATGGATGCACATGACCGTAGTACTTTTTTGATAGTTCATGTTCTCGTATTGCTGGGGAATTTCTTGTAATGAAATACTTGAAATAATAGATATCTTTATCATCAATTGTAGTTGCTTGTTCCAATGATTTGTGCCGCATAATTTATTGTGCCCATCTAACTGGAATGTGATGCTGTGGGTATGCGGTGCGGGCACTCCCTCGAAGTGAGTGTAAAGCCTCACGTTCACCTTTCACATCCATCAGTTTTCTTTTCAACAGTCATGCTGTGCTAAAAACCAAAAACGGTTCAACGGCTGTCATAGGCGAATTAGTGGTAGACAAAATTGTATTAATTTCTGTTAAAAAAACTACCTACTGAAGAATAACCCGTTGCCTATCATTGATTATTTGGTTGATGCTTTTAACATGGAGTAGGAACTAGCTTCTATCTAGACTAGCTGAAACATGAAATAACATTTCAAGTTTTGTAATCCTGCTGGTACTCGTAATTATTGCTAACCTGTGAACCTGCAATCTTGTATCACAAATAAATCTCTGTCGCTGATTATCTGGTACTGGTAGACTCACAAAACTAGTCGCCAGGTACAAGACGACCTAGTGTCCGAGTAACGCAGTACTCATCAATCTTATTTTCATCGTCCACCGTTGCAACGACAGCTTTTCGAAAGCAGTCGGCATGAAGAGCGGACCTGCATGAGAGAATTATTTTCAGAGCTGACGTAATCGACCAGGATGCGCGGTATCTGCCACGTTTCCTGCGCACCTGCCTTCTCCCTGGATAGATGCAACAGCTGATTTATCGCTGCAAATGTAGTTACAACAGCCGATTAATTTTTGCCCATGAAGTTATTGTGTTTTATTGTTCATCGTTCCTAGCCAATGTAGTTATAGCAGCTGATTGTTTCTTGTCACTGTTGCTATAGGAGCTGATTGTTTCTAGTCACTGTTGTTATAACGGCTGATTGTTTCCAGGCAATGATTTGTATTTTAAGCTTGGTGATTTTGTTGGAAACTTCCGAGCTCTAGATTTCAAAAAAGCAAGCGATATTCATCGTTCCATAGTTTATGAGCAACATTTAAACTGATTGAGATGAGCTATATGTCGTTTGATAGAACCATTCACCCTCTGACTACCTGCTAGTGTCCGGCATTAAATATTGAAAATTAAAATTTGTTTAGAGCGCAGTCCAAATGATTCTGTCGCATACTGCCTAATAGCACACATTGGCATTAGGCTATTTTATAGTCCCTCGATTTTAACGCTTCAGTTAACCTTAAAGTTAAAATATGATTCACTGGCCGCAAATAAGTCGTTTCTTCTTCATATGGAGACAGCTGACATTTACCCATATCAATTGTTTCCAATTGATGGACATTGATGGGTGACGGTATGGAACTTTTGATAGGTTATTTCAGAAAGTATATTCGTTAATTATTCTTATTTTGATAGAACTCCAAGTGATAAAAATATAAGAAGATAAATTGGACGTTAGGAGAGCTGAATTGGAGGAACGTCACGACCATTTGGAAAGTTTCTAAGGAATTTTTATTGAAACCACAAGTTTCAACAAGCGATAATTATCTGATGATTGGACATCAACGCTAGGGATACACGTGAGACGGTCAAAAAAATTTTCTTAAAGAGAAAAAATGCAGCATCATAAAATTTTTTTTCTGATGCTGCATGTATTATTAAATATGCATGCACTTGTTGCAATGTAGAGATGGCTTAATAAGGCTTAAAAATGAGCTGCGCATTCATCATATTGACGGTACATTTTACCAAATGAATCTCGGCAAAATTTTCTGAACTCTTATTCTACTAATTATTCTACCTTCAATTTTGACATTTTTTTCTGTAATGAATCATCTTCGTTGATTTTTTTTACTTCGCGACAACAAAATTACCATAAATTTTAAACCGTACGTTCTCAATTTATTCATGTAATACTAGTTCCTAACTGTATGCCTCTTCATCATTTATTTCGTGTTTTATTTTGCAAATTTAGACTAATGTGTTCACTTTTACGACAGAAAGTTACAATTATGATCCCATTCGTCTTCATTTCAAACCATTTCGCCTGATGCACATCATCTCTTAAAATTTGTTACTTAATGCAGCCTTGCATTTTACAAATTTGACCGCACCTTCCACATATTTTTAAAAATATTTTTTATCTTAAAATTTCATTCCCCACCCACGTATAATCCATTTGCAATTTCCATCCCTTTTAGTTAACTTCCCATTCCCCTCCCCCTTATATTCGCCTTGCAGTACCCCATATTTTTTCATCCCCCCTCCCTCTTATTGTACCCCCATAACTATTGTCCCATAACTATTGTACACCCATAACTATTGTACCCCCATAACTATTGTACGTACCCCCATAACTATTGTACACCCATAACTATTGTACCCCCACAAACTATTGTACCCCCATAACTATTGTACCCCCATAACTATTGTTCTCCCATAACTATTGTACCCACATAACTATTGTACACCCATAACTATTGTTCTCCCATAACTATTGTACCCCCATAACTATTGTACCCCCATAACTATTGTACCCCCATAACTATAAACCCCCATAACTATTGTACCGTACCCCCATAACTATTGTCCACCCATAACTATTGTACCCCCATAACTATTGTTCTCCCTCCCTCCCCGCGCCCCAGACACAACCTGACGGTGGGGCAGGTGTCGCTGATGCTGCCACAGGTGGACACGGAGGCCACGGTGCTGGGCACCGAGTGCCCCACGCCGCTGCCCCCCACCTCGTGCTCCCCCTCCAGGTTCCGCACCCTCGACGGCACCTGCAACAACCCCGACCAACCCCGCTGGGGGGCCGCCAACACCCCCTTCTTGAGGCTCCTGCCTGCATGGTACCGAGATGGTGAGTTTTTTTTTATTTTTAGTTTCTGAAAAATTTATTGGAATTTGTCACATTTCCAGGCACATTTCGGAATAATTCTTCGTAAGCATTATCCGAGATGGTGAGATCTTCCTAGTGTATTTGTTAGTTTTTAACATTTTTTATTATTATTATCAGGATAAAACTTTTTTAGTTTTTAAATTTATTATTATTATTATTAGGATAAAACTTTTTTAGTTTTTAAATTCTTTTATTATTATTATTGGGATAAAACTTGTTTAGTTTTTACCTTTTTTATTATTATTGTTAGGATAAAATTTGTTTAGTTTTTACATTTTTTTATTATTATTATTAGGCTAAAACTTTTTTAGTTTTAAATTTTTTATTGGAACTTGTCACATTAATTAACAGTCACATTTTTGAATAATTCGTCTTAAGCATCACGTGAGGAGCGTTAGATGATATAAATCATATGCACGACATGCTGTGCAATGTGACAGTCTATGCAACATGCCAGTCTGTGCTACATGACAGTCTGTGCAACATGACAGTCTGTGCAACATGACAGTCTGTGCAACATGACAGTCTGTGCAACACGCTGCAATTTGGCAGTCTCTGCAACACGGCAGGCATGCAACACATAGTGCAACACAGCAGTGTATGCCACACTGTAGTCGGTACAACAGTCAGGTGAATGTGTCATGTGTTGCTGGTAGCCCACACATTGCCAGCAGCACCACAGCTACTCCGGCTCTGACATGTCGCTCGTGTTGCGTCCGCTAGGAAAAACTACTAACCAATTGCTCCTATCTTCACAATTAGGAATACTAGTCGACTTTTTTATACAAGATATATGGTTTCCAACTGGCGGTGGAATGTAATTTTAGTTTTAAATTTTGTTTCTTAAAATGTTGAGTAGCTTGTGAGTTGTAGACGTGCGGAAGAACCCGCTGTATGAGCCCATTATAGTTTAACCTGGGCTTGCTGTAATGTTCAATAGTTTGCCGCGCTACATAGATGAGCTAAACATGAAGGCATAGATGAGTTATACATTTTAAAGGATTAAAATTCCAAATATTGTTACAATTTTTTTCACACCAATTCGATTGTATAACCAGAATGAGTTGAAATATCACCAGCGTTGGTTTCTGCATCTGATCGCTATTTCAAGTATTTGAAGCGACTACCTCTGTCAAAGACAATAATTATATACCTTCCATATGTTTAGCTTCGAGAGTATTATTCTCTCAATGATGAATTATTAACATCAGCGTTTTGTTTCTCCTACATATTCCATCTGTCATTATAATCATTTGATGTTAATCTTTCTCTCGGCAAAATATGTAATTGTAAAAAAAATAACTTCGGGTGCCTTATCATGGAATTACAGACGCCTCAAAAGAATGAGACATCGATGAGAACTTTAGAGCACCTGGTGCTCGGCACCTGATGCTCGGCACCTGATGCTCGGCACCTGATGCTCGGCACCTGATGCTCGGCACCTGATGCTCAGTACCTGATGCTCGGCACCTGATGCTCGGCACCTGATGCTCAGCACCTGATGCTCGGCACCTGATGCTCATTACTTGCCGCGATGCGAGCACGTTAGGTCGCGCAGCCCTCACGGTTGGAGGCACAATTAACACAACATTTCCTCTGTGTGGCGTAGTCCTAGCAAAGTGTGAAGGCCAGCAAGGTACCATAATGTGTTGGTATTCCGTGCATTATTCAGTGAACGAGCAGTGATGGTCTTCAGTAAGCCTTGTGAGGGACTCTTTTCTAATTCAATTATTTTTACGAGCTGTTAACGCGTCACTGACACGCGGCGATCTCCGAACTGCAGGCAGTCGACGTTTCTACGGACTCGAGAGTTCCATGCTGCGCTCGAGACGTTGCGAATTATCCTGCGCATTTTTGCGCTGCGAGACTTACTGACGTCCATTCATTTATTTTAGCGATTGTTTAATATGAATTTTAACTACATTGAGGCTCGCTATATACAGTCTGTCATTTTTCAGCTAAAACATCTAATCGTGAAACTAACTTCTACTGTTGGATGCCAACTTTTAAATAGCAGAAGACCCATAATATACACTAAAAGGCTCCAAATTAGCCAGTTTTGAGGCTGTTGGCCAAATAATTCCAAGAAATTGCCCCTTTGAATAAGATAAAGACCAATATTTTCTGCCCGCCTTGAGTATAGGTCGCCCTAATGCCGGCCTTGGCCTCTGCGTTTGCATTCGGAGATGTTGAGAGCGCGTCTGTGTGCATGACAGTTCTAAGTAGAATTTATCTCGCAGTCAATCATATCGTCGTATATCCTCATCTATTGGATTACTATTTTTGATAATTATTGCTTATCAAAATTGAATGATTTTAATTGCGTTTGTGTTACATCCAGTGAAGGAATATTGTGACCTAACGTTAATTGAAGTGATCACTGTGAAAATGTGAAAGTTCAGAGCAGTTAGAAAATTGAAAGCTCAAATCAGTATTTTATTATTGATATAAATCAACTATTCAAATCGATAGTAACAATAATATTTTTGCAAGTTTTTATTTTCAATTTTTGCGTACATATTCACTTTCCGAATGTTATATAGTTCGGTTCCATGCATTCTGTTAAAATGTTTATGTAAAACGAGTGGTGCTTTTTAAAATTTATTGTGTCATCAAATGAGCAGCGAATTAAATAAAATTTGTTTGAAAATTAAATTTCAATCCATAACATGGAAAATAACTCATTCTCTGATGAAATTAAATAGAAGTTGCCTGTGATGAAATATGATCCTTTTACCAGTCGCATATAGGCGATATTTTCGCCTATTACATTTAAGTTGAAAATTTTACCAAGTCCATCTCACTGCTTGAGTTATCGTCTACCATCAAGCAAATTTTCTACGTGCTAAAAAATTGATAAAAAAATTGCAAGTTTAAGGAACGAGGAGTGAACAAAATCCCCTAGACTTGCTACCTGACTACCTGAAAGCTTCTTTCATCTAAGCTCACATTCAAGATGTCGTAAAGACTGCTGAAAGAACTGTATTGTCCTTTACATTTTTTCTCTCCGGGAAGCACTCCAGACTCAACAATAACTCCAAGGACGGATGAGAAAGATTGATGGCAAGTCTTTTTAGCCATCATATGATACATTAAATTGTTTTATGTATCATGTAAAGCATTAGTTATACGTACATCTATTATGCACGACTGCTTGATGCCCATTTCTCCTTGCTCTGAGCTGTGCCCGAGGGCTGTCGTCTTGACAGTAGAGTGAGCGCGCGCATTATCATTGCAATGGCACGCCCTTACCTGGAATTTCAGGAATTATTGTTCACTCTATAACCCTAGGTAAGAGAGTTGGATATAATATTTATTTGAGCTGCTGTACATTTTTAAAACTTTTTTTTTTCATTGCTCATGCGATGCTATAGGCTTTCTGAGTGATTTCATAATTATCATCAGTTCTTTGAAATACAATGTGTGATAGTTTATTTCTCGAGTCTCACAATCCGGTGCGTGTACTGCACCAGTTTCGCTGGTAGCATAAATCTCTTATTATGTCATGTTATTTAGAACAAATTGTCATCTAGAACAAAAAATATGTGAAGTTCATTTATTTATTAAATTAAATTGTTTCTAACCTCGAACCCAACACCTTATTCGGTCCCAAATGAAATCCAATGTTTGATTTATAGACACTTCTGAAAGGTCCCTATCTCTTCAGACGGCACTGGGAAGCTGGAAAGCCCCAATCGTTTATTAAACAATACAAGCCCATGAGACCACATTTAGCGACACCTGAAAACTTGTCTACTCACACTTCTATACCAGTGACTGCTAGTTGACCTGTGAAGAGGAGGCGGTCATTATGATCATGATAACTTTAGTCATCCACGTATTTCGTCTCGTGTCGTGCAAAAGAACACGTGTCGCTGTATAGGTCGGGCTTCGTATCGCGCGATATCGCTTGTACCCAAGGAACTTTGGACCCCGGGCACTTAGTTCTTCGGAGGACATGTGTTAACAATAATCTCGTGGCCCGGCGAGGAAATCTTTTTAAACTTAATTTTATTCGAGCCGTTGCTTCTCGAAGCAATAAAATAATAGGAAGCGATTGGTGTTGTGTTTCGTGAAGTATTTTTGTATACAGACCTTCGTAATGAAATCTTGATGTCGAGTGCTGTATTTTGTACGCTCCTGGCTTTTTGTTTGTAACTTTAACCAATGCGAAAGTATCGTTTCTAATAGAAAATCTCATTTGAGTAAAAAAACTAACATACCTGTATCATCTGAATGATTCTTCTTTATCTTCCGGACCAATGGCTTTCCTTTTGTGCACATTCTGCGCCGGCGATAATGTGCCCATGAAATGAGGGGCTACTGTCATTCATATTCTCAGTCTAGTTCTTGAACCGTTCGTATTCTCGCGTCGTCGTATTCATGTTGTAGAAATAGAAACCCATTTATGTATGTAATTCGCTGCCCGGACGATGCTGCTCTGGCAAGACGTTGCTGCTCTGTCAAGACGTTGCTGCTCTGTCAAGACGTTGCTGCTCTGTCAAGACGTTGCTGCTCTGTCAAGACGTTGCTGCTCTGTCAAGACGTTGCTGCTGTGTCAGTGCACTGCTGCTCTGTCAGTGCACTGCTGCTCTGTCAGTGCACTGCTGCTCTGTCAGTGCACTGCTTGCGCTGCTGCTCTGTCAGTGCACTGCCGCTCTGTCACTGCGCTGCTGCTCTGTCAGTGCACTGCTCTGTCAGACAGCTGTTGTCTCCGCACTTCCTGGCTGCCGGCGCGGTTGTCCGCGTGTCCGTTGACCCCAGGAGTGCTGCATGTGACGCAGTCCTGATGCGCGCGTGTTGCGACCTTGGAAGTGTGCGGCATTGGCGGCCACTCTCCCTTCAAGGGGGTGAAGTGACCGCTCGCTTACGGTGCTTCGACGGCAGCGCATATATTACCATACCAATGACCCTAAGGAGGTGTAATTATGTGCATAGCATTTTTTCAAAGCTTAGTACATGTCACATTTTTACCCACATGACCTCAATGTCGTCAAGTGAGTATAATTAGCACCTGGTATTGTATTGGCAACTAGCGAAAATTGTATGTGTTGTAGCCCTCTCCGCTGTGTCTTGAATGGTGCACTTCCATCATCCTATTAACATTCCAGTGACTGCTTTTAATCTTTGTCGACGGACATCTCTGAAAAAAAAACGAGAAGATCCGGTGGGCTTGGCAGTTTATTACATTTTTCGTTCATAAAAACTTGTTGGGTTCATAAATGCGTCCACTCGAGTCGTTGCTCAACGCCCTCCCGACTTATAAATATTCTAAGTTCTCTACTTAATTTTCGACTTTCGATCTACTCGACTTGGAGTGCAACGAACTGAAACAAACCTTAGTCTCGAGAAGGAGTGTGAAGAATAACTGTAAGTGTGTGGCTGGTAAGCTGAATGTTGTTGCTAGGTTTCCGTGACGGCGGTCGTGAGGCGTTCCGCATTGCCGGAAGGTCAGTGATCCGAGCCTTCGTTTCAAGGCCGCAGAGTTGGCGTCGATCGGAATGCATCAGATTCACTGCCAGGATTTCCCCGACAATCACACGGGCAAAAACGGAAAGGCTGCCGAACTTGGCGTACGGAATTCGCCGTATTTAATGACGCGCTTTGTTTAGCGCACCTTAGCAAGTGTGAAGTGATGCACCGCGAGTGTTTCGAGATTGCTTTGAGGAATGAGATTTTGTTTCTTATTGTTACTATAGGAAACAGATACTGTAATATAACACGATTTAATTGTAGCATAATAAAATACTGGCGTTTTACTCTTCGTATTTAATTCTTTTTCTGATGAAACCTAAAGGTATTAATCAATTTATTTCGGTTAAATTTGAAGCAGTACATCACTCTTGAGACATTTTTATTTTCATCTCGTTTCGTACTAAATTTATATATTTAGCACCAAAGATTTAGCTAGCTGTTATTTTATAGGCTTGAGTTTTCACGTGGTAGCGTAGTTAGGCTTCGATGTTCCATTTAAATGAAATGCTTGAATACAACAATACTTTGTGGTATGCTTCATTCAATCTTCTTTTTACCTGGTTATCTACTTACAATACGTTAGAATTTCTCCCTCAAATAACCTCGTTACTTGTTATTTGATGCCACCAATCACATATCAGGCGATTACCATTTGATGCCTTCTCATGGGACACTTTCTCATATGACGCCTTTTCATGTGTCGCCAGCTCATATGACACTTTCTCATATGACGCCTTTTCATATGTCGCCAGCTCATATGACACTTTCTCATATGACGCCTTCTCATATGACACTTTCTCATATGACGCCTTTTCATATGTCGCCATCTCATAAGACACTTTCTCATATGACGCCTTCTCATATGACACTTTCTCATTCGACGCCTTCTCATATGACACTTTCTCATATTACGCCTTCTCATACGTTGCCATCTCATATGACACTTTCTCAAACGGCGCCTTCTCATATGACACTTTCTCATATTACGCCTTCTCATGTGACATTTTCTCATTCGACGCCTTCTCATATGATATTTTCTCATATTACGCCCCTTCTAATTACATCATTTAATTATTATGCTATTCTACACTAAAATCCGTCCCCAGGCGTGACTGAGCCGCGTGGCTCTCTAAGCGGAGCAGACCTGCCGTCCGCCGCCCGCATCTCCCGCGTCGCTCACTCCGGGTCCGCGGTGTCCCATGCCCACACGTCCCTGCTGGTGCCCGTGTGGGCCCACTACCTCTCGCAGGACCTGTCCCGACCCATCGTGTCCCTGGGGGTGCGCGGAGAGAGGGTGAGTGAAGCAAAAGATCATGAACGGTTTAGAATATAGTCGTTAATATAGGCGTAGTTGTTATTTGACCGACTAGTTGTGTATCTTAAGCTAGTGAAAGTATAGGTGGAGGAGAGCCGAATTGAAAGATTTGAAAGAGGATGAATTAAACTTCTATATAACATTTAATTTGACGCGGTTGTGTAAGGTTTTTCAATTCATGGTAAGAATTATTACTATCTCTTGTTTCTTGCTCATGTTTAGTCATAATTACTTTCATTACTCATATAAATATATAGTTTTTATCATGCACCTGAATTTTTGTACTTCTCTTACTAATGAAGTGCTAAGATTTAGTCCTAAGCTGGACCTTTTTGTTTTTAGTTAATTTCTTTCCTTATAAAAAGACGAAGATACGCGCAATAGAGACAGCAATAATAAATGTATACTTCATGTTCTGTATGGTATGGACTGTTTTTAAACGAAACGAAGTAAATTCTCAAACCTCGCCATGTAATGCGTGTATCAAGCTGACTATAAGCATCCGCCTCTTACGATGGGTTTAAGTCACGGAATACGTCCGTATTAGACTAATTCTACGAAGAAATTTAGTCCGTTTTGGCGCTATGTCTTTTTATGCTGAAGCTTTTTTTCTCTTACCACTAAGATAATATTTTTTCCATTTCGAATTGAAATTTGAGTACAAACGATCACCGTTCCAAGTCTTTGGCTTCAATTTGGTCTGGTATGGTTTTGACAGTGCGGTCAGAAAGTGATTCAAAGTCATTAACAACGAAAAGTGTGTACTCTGTGCAACAACCATTCGTGAAAGGATGACATTATTTATTTATATCATCTCTATTTTCGATAAGAATTAGCGTAAGTTTTATTTCACAGTTATTTTTTAGCATTTTGGCAAAGCTTCGAAGCATCAGATGCTTTATAGTTTGATCTGATTCGATAGTATCGAATCTTGCATATTGACGTGACGATGACAACTAACACAGTAAATAATTGTGTTGTTTGCTTTAACGAGGAAATTTACTACACGAGCAAAGCTTTAATGTGCCCACTAGTGTGTTGCTTTGCTCCTTGCATGTTTCCTGGAAGGAAAAGCTTTGAAGTGCTGCCGCTTGCTGTTCACCTCAAAATTGTTTAGTTTGGGTCATCCAGTGACGGCAGAGCTGCTTGCATGCTTGGTGGTAGCATTGCTTCAGTACTAAAAAAACGCACGTTTCGTTATTAGTGAAAAATTTGGCTCGTGTTTCATTTACAGTGTACTAGTCAAAGAATCTCCTCTAAACTATAGTTGTCTAAATTTATTTCGGCTCTTAAAATAAAAGCTGACTTTTGGATGAACTTTTGAAAGAGAAGTAACGAAAAGTAATAATTTGTCCAAGAAGTGTGCCATATCTTGTTTTGAGGCATTAAAAAGTTTAACGGTTTTGTTACGGTTCTCAAGTAAAGTTGAAAATCGTGAAATTAAGAATTTCTTTTAATTTTAAATAACCGGAGCTTTGACTCGCTTTGATCAAATTTTGCATCAATATCTATGGAATTCAGTGTTTGTAGAGTTAATAATGATCATACAAAAAAATAGGTTTATTGCTAACCCTTCTCTTAAGTGATCAGCCCGCGAAATATAAATCAACGGATTGTGTTTTGCTTCGAGCTGCCTTTAATGTGAGCTAAATTCTTTTATTACTGAAATTTGTTAGGCTGCGGTAGAATAAACTCAGCTTAGCGTATAGCGGTTTACATGCTCGCGGCTCCGGCAGTTTGTCGGTTCAAGTGAGCGTAATACAGCGGTTGCCCAATCCCTGACCACATCTCTGGGGCAAAGCATACATTACATGCACAATTATTGCGTTACTTCCCTCGCGTTCTTGACAAACACTAACTACAAACACCTACACAACAATTATTCAAGGCAATACATAACCTTAGGGAAATATTGCAGTGAATGCTGCGATAATTCTCAAATTATTTTAGTGCTAATGATCTGGTAGAACGTTAATGTATGGCTTGTTTTACGTGTTATGAGAGTCGAAATTATGTACATTAGACTGATCGATCATGTGAGCTATCTGGAGCCTTACTTTTCTCAGCTGTGTGTACAACAATTTCATATTTGCGTGATTATTAATGATAAATTAGTATTTATCTGTATAAATCACTTTGATTTATGTAAGCAAAAGATTACATTTGTGACTTCATGAAGAGCGTGGCATATGAAATAAGCAGCCTCATGCAATTTTTTGTCAAACGTTTACGAAAACGGATCCTTTCGGAAATTTCTAATCTGAGTTTCGATTAGGTTTGCCTACAGTCCTCTCACATGCACGCTCTTGTCGCCCCAAAACCCGCAGGCTTTGCCGAGGTTTTTGCTTTGATGCTCCCGCAGGCCATGGCAGCTGCCTCGTGACGAAATGACCATCCGGCCAATAACTCTACTGCCTGTGTTGCAGTTAACAAACTGTGTAATGTCTTCTAACTTTCACTTGCTTCGGTCCTTATGTGAAATAATTATGTGCGTCAGCTGTATTCCTAGGGAACATGTTGCGTTGTTTCCAATTAGTTACTATTATTATATAATTTTTGTGAATTTCAGCTGAATTCACGTGGGTAATTATATGGAAAGAACATTGCCGTGCTTGTTGAGCGCTAAATAAATGATGATTGTTGTTTTCTCGCTTCCCACTCATGATTTGGTCTGAATTACAGTTGAACTCACGTGGGTAATTATATGGAACAAAAACAATGTCATGTTTATTGAGCGCCAAATATAGGATGATTTTTGTTTTCACGCTTCCTACTCATGATTTGGTTAACATTAGCAGCACTTGGCGCTGTTATATATTAATTACATCTGGTTAAATTACAGCTAGAATATAACGTTTTCTTGGGTACGGCAGTGAACATCGCAGGATTCAGTAATCCGCTCAATAATTTACTTTTTAATATGAAGCCAGATTCTGATATGTTCGATTCAATGGCTGCTGAACTTGGTTATTGTTGGTACAGCTGTTATTAGTTTTTTATTCTACAGTTCTCCTCGCGAATGTGAATATTATTCGAGCTATAACGCTCCTTCAAACGAAGAAAATATGATTATTTTCGCCAAGCCATTTGTAGAATTCTGTAAGAACCTAAGAAGTCACCCTTTTATTTTTGAATATCCGAATTAGTTATTTAGCATTTCAAATTTTCTAGATCAAACAAAAAAATATCTTGTTATTTTATTGATCTGCCATTAGTACCAGTTCGATGTTTATTCTCTGATTATTTTAACTCGATTGCAATACAGAAATGGACTATACCAATAAATCCCGTAGAAAGTGCTGTAAACATAAATTTATTTATGCATCGAAAGACTAAAGGTTTATTTTGGCGAATCGAACAGATTCCGCTAGCACATGTTAGTACCATCCAAACGTATAGATCGCGCCTTAATCAAATGCTAATAAAATGCCGATTCATCGCTTCGATTGTTTAATTTGTAATGATTTCTTTCTTATATCGCATAGTACACTTGTCCTGTCCATTGCATGTTCTTTAGTGACACATGATTTCATGATATTAATTTTTTTCTTTTTGTCTTCCAAGAATTTTTTAATCAATGAATTGTTTATCGTTATTTAAAGGCAGTAGATCAAAGATCTTTTATTGTTGCTACAGTTGCGGTGCTGCGGCATCAGCGATGTTCACCCCGAGTGTTCACCCATCTTCGAGGGTGACAGATGCTGGGAGTATACACGCACCTCCCCCGCCACCACCACCAACTGTGCTCTGGGTTAGTGTCCTTCATGTTCTCCAGATTCTGCGTTTTCTATTTATTTAGAAAAAATTAATAGTATGAATGTGCAGGAAATAATAAACATGCAGGCCCCGAAATAAATTGGCATGTTCAGATATCAAACATGCAAATAATGAATTGAATTTTATATCGATAAAGTTTTTATCTAGATAAGATTAGGACTTGCAGAAACAAACATTGCTCAATATACTCGTATTTGGTCCTGCCCCCAAGAAAATCACTCAATTCAACGCTTCATATTTAGCAATTCTATTAGAATAGAATACAAGTGTCGGCACTGAAGAAATAGGCCCATGGCCTGTTGCCGATTCTTGAACTTTTCGCGACTTGATTTACAAGGGATCCGGCCTTTGGAACCCGATCTTCCATAACTTGATAATTTTGTACAGAGAATATCCCAACAAAAAATATTTTTTCTTGTTTTCTATCTAATTTAGTATTTTTCCAATTTTCAACATACACAGACAAAATTTTGTATTTTTACTAGAGAATGGTTTTCCAATTGCTTCACGTCTCGATGAAGATTCATGCCCCAAACTTTTCTTTAATGTGTTATTTTTGATTGCATTACATTTGCATAACACAAAATATACAAATTTCCTCGATTCCTGTAGGTGTTCGTGAGCAACTGAACGCAGCCACTTCGTTCCTGGACGGCTCGGCGATATACGGGTCGTCGCAGCGCGAGTCTGACGTGCTGCGTCTCTGGGAGACCGGGCAGCTCAAGACGCAGGGCTCCTGGCTGCTGCCCAGAGTTTCCTCCCACACCTGCAAGGACGAGATGATGTGAGAAACTCTTATTTACAACTTACTATTCGCTAATCCATATCATAAAAACGTATAAAACGTATCGAAAATTCAAATCATTTGATTTATAAAGCTGCAATTTGTATGGATGCAGCCGCATCAGATTCACGTTTATTTAGAACTTCTTTACTAATATCTATTGCAGAATGAACATTTTTGGATCCTGCAACAAACATCTTTTGAGACAAAAATATATTCATGTCAAATCAATGCTCCGTTAGAAATCCAATCCTTCCTATTGGCTAACTGCTGCAATTACAAAAACGAATGTTACACATTGTCGATAAGAAATGAGCACGAAAACTGTTGATCCCCCAAAAAGTTTGGTATATCATGAAAAGCATTCATTTTCTCATTTGAGTTACCTTTCGATCAACAGTGCATAAATGTTCGTAATTTATGTGACTTTTAATCATTCAATTATTTACTTTGCCGCAGGTGTTTCTTGGGCGGTGACTTACGTCTGAACGAAAACGGCGGTCGAGCTGCGCTGCAGACGATGCTGGTGCGGCACCACAACCGCGTCGCCGCGGACCTCGCTACCGTCAATCCACACTGGGGCGACCAGACGCTTTTTGACGTCGCCCGCTCCATTGTGGGGGCTAGTCTGCAACACATCACTTACAGGGAGTTCCTGCCCACGCTCCTCGGTGTGCAGGTGAAACTATTCAAAACTTCGTCACCAGTAAAATGTCATACTCTTTTTTTTTCCTAATGTGAAAATGATTTTATCCATTGTAATTAAAATGAAATTTTGAAATGACTTGAACTTCATGACTTAGTATATTTTCGGCAAAACTGTCAATTCGGCCTGAAACTATTTTCGTTTGACTTTACAACTGAGCAAAGTAGTTAATTCTTTAAAGCTCTGGTATAGTTTCACGATATCGGGCAAAGCTTTCTCAATATTGTTCATTTCGATACGAACTTACACTGCCATATGATGAATGAATATGATTTACCGAATTTCGAGCCGATCAAGCAATCTATAAGCAATAATGTACTACAGTGTATAGGTACTTTTCCTTACCATATTCATTTACTTATTTTTATTTTACTTTGGTGCTCTGACCAGGCGGTGGAAGAATCTGAAATCCTGCCGTTAGCCAGCGGCCGCTACACTGGCTACGACATGTCCATCAAAGGCGGCATCTTCAATTCCATAGCTACCGGCATCCTGCCTCTGGTCCTCACGCTGCTGCCCGACAACCTGCCTCTGGCCAACGTCAACTTGGAAGACCCGATCACCGAGGTAGGGTTACAACCTGATGGTTAACATAACATAATGTTATTTTTAAATTGTTTTGAGTCAAACCCGTTATTAACGAACTTTGATTCGAGTTCTGAAAACTGAAACAAAATTCTTGAAAAGATGCGCTAAAACAGAGGCAAGGATTGGATAGAGAATTAACATTATTAGTTAGAGATATTTGAAGTAAATTTTTTATCTGGCTGACTGTTTTCAGCAGCTAATTTATAAATATGTGAGGAGGCTTGGAAGTTGGAGGTGAAATTCAACCTGGCAGGTATCGTTGCTCAGGAAGATGCTGAGCACCATCATCTAATTTGACTTTATTAGATTTCGATATGGTTGTTTCACGATACGTGTATTTTGATGACAACGTCATTATACTTACCTTGGTCTATTTTGTGGTATGACGGGTAATAGTGAGAGGTTGTGATATGTTATTATTTTTTACAAAGCGGGCTTAATGATTTCCAAATTGTTTTGATTAACGGTTCTTTAAATCATTTTATTAGCCGAGTTGAGTGAGTGACAACGTAAGAAAACGATTTTTGTAACAAAATGCGCATGTAATTTTGAATGCGCTAGGAAACTGTGCAAAGAGTAAAGTTAGGGAATTGATGATTATTTTTCGATTTGAAATGACCAACAATTTTGCTCCTGAGGGGACAAACTATAATGAGATCAAATGCGCATTTAGCTTCCTTACTAATGTTGTTGTTTTGAGGACGATTGGATGAATGGAATCAATGAATAATCGATAATAATAGGTAATTAAAAAAGTTAGCACCCCGAGAGCGCTGTTAATTATGTCGTTATTTTTATTTGACTTTTTAACGATTTTTTTTTATTTAGCACCCAGTTTCATGTCTTCAGAATTCTGCTTTATTGTACTCTGCTCGGAGCTATAAAAATCACATTTAATGATGACACGTGACATTAAAAATTAATGATCTTTCCCTTGTGTTATCGAATTGATCGTTTAGGTTGTAACAGTAATCATGAATTTATGGCATATTTGTCTAGACGCTTTAGTAGGGCATTTGTCGTGTTATTTAATCACCGCAGAAAGTTTCTTTTCATAAAATCTAGAGATTTTTTTCTTTTTGCAGCATTTAGATTTTTGCATTAATTGCGCAATGACGTGAAATAAAATTCTATTTAAGTTTTCGTTCATTTTCGTGTATAATGTTGCACTTGTTTTTACCGTAATTAAAGAATGTGTGCGTTTTTAGTCGGTTATATAAAATTTCCATTATTTTTATTTTTTTAATCGATAAATTTACAGTAGTTTTAACTTACCGCGGCAGATGTTTAAGTTTTATTTCTTTTTATGCGATCAGGAAATCCCGCTGCAGGAGACTGCCTTGAACATGACTCTGCTCTATAAGCCGGGCGTGTACGAGAAGATCATCGCAGGTCTTATCAAAGGCAAGGCTCTGGCTTGGGACGCCTCGATCCCTCACTCCCTGCGCCACTATCTAGAAGGCGTTGACCTGGCGGCCAGAGCTGTCCATCAGGGCCGCGACCACGGCCTTCCTCCGTACGTTGTGTGGCGCCCCTTCTGCCGCCGCTCACCCGCTCACACCTTTGATCAACTTATTGATGTCATGGAACCTGACCGCATTGACACTCTCAAGCGGCTCTATGATGACGTCGCTGATATTGACTTGATAACAGGAACTTTGTCCGAAAGACCCTTGGATGGAGCTATGGTGGGACCAACAGCTTCGTGTCTTCTGTCTCTGCAGTTTAAAGTTCTCAAGCAAACAGATCGTTACTGGTATGAAAACGATTTACCTCCGTCATCGTTCAGTAAAGAGCAACTTTTTGAGCTTCGCAAGTTCTCTCTCGCTAGATTATTATGTGACAACGTACCCGGGCTTGACAAGGTTCCATCCAATCCGTTTTTAGCAATCGATCCATTCCTCAACGCCCCCGTGTCGTGCGATGACATCGAGGCACCAAACATGAGAGCTTGGAAAACAGAGGGCAAAGTTTTCTTGAAAGAAGAGCTTCTAAAGGAAATGGTGAACAACGGCAAAGAAAAAGTTGAAAGATTGCGACAAATGGAGAAACTTGTTTTCGAGAAAGGATACGTTGCCGCATCAAAAAGTACATTGGGATCGGCGTATGCCAACAACAAGCCTAATCCTACCTCCATTGTGATGGCTAACACCTCAATATTACTGGAAGCAACGAGCCAAGAGCTCCTACTTGCCATTAAGGACAGGCGAGTGAGACGTCAGAGTCCATTCCTTGACAGCCTCAATGGCATTGATGGAGAAGTGAGCCTTCCCAGCGTAGATATTTCTGGCTTAGTGCCCCCCGCGCCGCTGATAAGATCTTGCGTTGAGATTGAAGAGCACCGACCCTGCGATGCCAGCGATAAGTTCCGAACCATCAGCGGTCACTGCAACAACCTACTTCGTCCGGACTATGGGCGATCAAACACTGTCTTTGCTCGCATGTTGCCCGCTGCCTACGGGGACGGGGTTTCTGTTCCTCGCATGCACTCAGTCACTGGAGGACTCTTGCCGTCACCCAGAACTGTGTCCACTAACATTCACTACGATATTTCCCACCCTCACGCTAGATACACACTCATGGTGATGCAGTTTGGGCAATTTTTAGATCATGATCTAACATTCACTCCTCTAAACAAAGGGTTCCAAAATTCTATTTTAGACTGCAGAGACTGCGAAAGTCCTCAGCGCGTCCATCCTGAGTGTCTGCCGATCACAGTCGACAGCAACGATCCCTTCTTCCCTTCGGTCAACATTTCATCTGGAAGACCTTTTTGTATCGCTTTCACCAGGTGAGGGCAACAGTATGATAATACTTGTTTCAGCTTTGATCGCTCACTAAGTTGATACCATTAAGAGAAATTTTTTTAATGAAATATTCTTTTGCATTTTGCTTCATTTTGATTGTTAACTTCTGCTCTGCGACTTATGCATTGATACCTGACTGCCGAAGGTATTCGTTACTGACAATATTATACGAATTGATTCCAAAGTCCGCCTTTATTAATTCGTAGGAAATTTAGTCAAAATACGCTTTTGTCCATGTCATGTGTCATGGAGAACAAATACGATTTGTACGAAGGGATGACCAACTTATACACCAATGTCTGATTAAGAATGCAAGTTTGAACTACTTATCAGCGCCTGAAACGCGTCTCAAACCTGGTGTCAATCGTTGTTCCAAAGTAGCACCTATACTGGGCTTGACGAGCCCCTTCACTTCCTGCGCAGATCTCTGCCAGGTCAACAGACTCTAGGTCCCCGAGAACAGATCAACCAGAACACGGCTTACCTCGACGCCTCGCACATCTACGGACAAGAGCTCTGCGAAGCTAGGGAGCTGAGGACGTTCAACGGAGGTCTTCTCAACACTACAGCACATCCCATCCATGGGAAGGCTCTTCTCCCCCAGGTATTCTTCTCCTTATGCGAGGTTCATTAATTTTCATAATAGTCATTTAAAAGACTCATGAGGAAGAGGTAAGTGTTCGTTCAATTTAAAGTGCGTTCCGCAAGCGTTCACTATATAAGAAAAAATACCTTTCCTCTTAAATATTGCGAAATCGAATTTTTTATTGAATTTCCTTCGTGGTAAATCATAGGTCGGAAAAAGCATTATTAAGCCATTGTTTTGAACGAATCTTGAAGATATGTGAAACAGTTATTGAGTACAATATTGAAACAGATCTAGTTTTTTATATTGCCATAAAAGTTCCCTGTCGGGTATAACTTTTTTTAGCTACCAATTAGAGATTGGTAATTTAAGCTAATGTTTTATTTTAGGACAAAAGCGAAAAATTTTTATAGCGGTTCTAGCAACATGATTAAGGTTATTCTTGAGCGATTTTCTTGGATCAATTCTCAAACAGAGTTGGCCGCTAGTATAATTTTCGGTTCGTTCGAAACTTCATTATTCGCGGCAGATCGGTGGTCGCGAGAAGCAAAAGCTTGTTTCATATATTCTTTCAGTCAATAATTTTCAGTTTTTTGGCGACAGGTCGGCGGTCACCCCGAGTGCAAGGCTCGGTCTGGGATGTGCTTCAGATCCGGGGATTCGCGGACGTCGGAGCAGCCCGGACTCGCTGTCATCCACACGATCTTCATGCGCGAGCACAACCGCATCGCCACTGAGCTCAGCCAAGTACGAATGTACCTTATATGATATCAGGCTGCGCGTAATAAATTACCTTTCAACCGGTAAAGAAACTCTTAGAACAGTTACTGTTTTTAGCGCATTTCCTCATTTATGGAAAAAAAGGCGCTATTGTGCTCTTCTTGTCCGTCCGACTGTCTGTCTGTCTGTCCATCCGTCCGTCCGTGACCACGTTTTCGTTGACGAGAAAATGCGCTTTCTGTCACTCACTGCAGTGAGTACCGAGTTATATTTTTTATATTTAATAGGTACTGTTTACAGCGGAAGAACGCACGAATTGTAAGTTTTCTTATTCATTTAAGTTGAAATTTTGAGTTTTATTTCGACTAATATAGTAATTTTAATTTATCACGAGGCTTTGCCGTGCTGGAGTGTTAATCAATGCCAACACAAATCATTCAGGTATCGCTATGGCCATACCTATGTTAAATTACGTTATTATATGCTGAGATTAGCAAAAAAAGGTTCACTATACGCGATGAAAATTGTACAATGGGACTTGATTTAACCTGTCAGGCCTTACATAGCACTGAACCATATGGGTGATGCTTCCTAACTGGCAGTCAATTCGTAACATTCTGTGAATGTTAGCTCATCAGAATTCTGTGTTACCAAGTAAATAGAACATTTTTCCGTCTCATATTGAGTAAACTAATTGGCTTCACAAGTTTATATTTCAATATATTTAGTTTCCATGAGTGCGAACTCATAAAAGCCTTATTGTTTCATGTACAACATGCAGGGACGCTTGACCTTTTATATCTTTATGTTTTAGGGCGCTTCATGGATTCTAATTAAACTGATAATTATTAGAAGAAATTCTGAAAAAATACTACACTGAAGAATAATTTCTCGTTTCTTCAATTTGAAAGAAATTTTTCTTGCTTATATTAACTCTTTTATTTTAATATGCATGTGTTTACATAACTCCTTATTCGTTTCATTTTCTTTAATCTTCTTTCTAGATAATTCTTTGAACTGAAAAGCAAAATTGATACGAGTCCTTCTGTTTGTATTTATGCACGATACATTTTTTTGGTGTACATTTGTTCGTTTACTTGACTTAGGCTTAGTCTATCATTTATTAATGCCTGTGTAGAATGAAGAGCATTATTGATTTTTCATCAAGTTAGAATTTCATCTTTTCTTAATAATGATCACAAACGCGACAAAATCGAGGATTAAGTTTGTGTGCTCCACCAAGCTGAACACCGTTAATAAGTTGAATTAAATCAGAGGCAGGGTCTATTCACAAACTTACGTATCAAGGAGATAAGTATTTTTGTGGGCAAATTTTTATTTGACGTCCTGAATGACTTGAATGTTCCTAACTGGGCGAAAAATCGAATATGTTTACCATTTTCGTTCATGCTCATGGCTGATGAAAAATTCAGAACAAATTGTAATTATTTCTGTTGGCATAGATCGCATTTTTTTGGAAAATAAGGAAATGTCTAAATTCGATGTTGTAGATCAACGGTCACTGGGCGGACGAGCGCCTGTACCAAGAGTCACGGCGCATCGTCTCGGGCATGTGGCAGCACATCGTCTACAACGAGTTCCTACCGCGAGTCCTGGGCTGGAATGCCATGCAGCTCTACTCCCTCAGGCTCAAGCCAGAAGGATACAGTACAGGTCAGCAGCTCGCAATTTATTCTTATGAATGCAAGTGAACGTTCACAGAAATGAGTTATTTTGGTCGTTAATTTTGACATATTACTATTATCATTCATGAGCTATTACATATACAACTTCGAATCGTATATTAGTGTAGCTTCACCAGAACTTGAAGTGTAGAAAGCATAACATGTGGCTATAAAGCACCAGATGATGTGAACTTGATGGTCGCGCAGACTACGAGCCCTGCAACCCTGGCATCCTAAACGAGTTCGCATCAGCGGCCTTCCGCTTCGGCCACTCGCTGATCCGACGATCGCTGTCGCGTATGGACACATCCTTTGGCGTCATGAACGAGTCGGTGACTCTACGCAACAGCTTCTTCAACCCCGACATGTTGTGAGTGATGCCTCAGAGACAAACGTTGTCCGTTGGTCTCCGCTATCGTAGGAGGGCCTTGTATCTTTATTATGCTGCAATTGCGTATTATCCGTGGACGATCTGACATCATATTGCTTGACGACGCTGTACCGTTGTTCACAACGCTGAACTATAAAATTTCCCGCCGACAGTCCCATGAGAAAGTTTAAATATCATCCGCAACGCTGAACTATAAAATTTCTCGCCGACGGTCCCATGAGGAAGTTTAAATATTTAAATATCATGAATTGCTTGTGCTTTCAATATATCTATCACTCCATTGTTATCAAGATGACTTAGCACTTCGGCATAATATTTGGAACTGGTTGTTCGTGTTATGAGTGATCCTATTTTAATGTTAATAGTTATCCTCATTTATTATATTTGCATTTTCTAGTTATCCTATTTATTATGATAAATGATCATTTTATTCTGACAATTACTTACACGTCTCGTTGTGGCTTTCCAACACGCAATTTGAAGTTGATTGTTTCGAAAAGTTTTGGTTGCAGTTTAACATAAAATGTTCTGTCGCAATGCATTTTAGTTATTGTAAGAAAGAAATTGCTCGTACATATCATTCTATACAGAAAAAAAATTATTTAATGCCCAGCACTCAATAAAATTTCTGCCTAATTTAGCACATTTCATTCATGTAAACTGTTAAGGGTTGAGATATTTACGAATATTCTTTTTCTAGATACGAGGTCAAGATGGTGGACGAGCTCGTAAGAGGATTGATCTCTACCCCAATGGAAACCCTGGATAATTTCATCTCAGACGAGATGACCAACCATCTCTTTGAAGACACTCACACGCCGTTCTCGGGTCTGGATTTGATTGCCCTGAACCTCCAGCGCGCGCGCGACCACGGCATCCGAGCCTACAACGAGTACCGCGCCATCTGCAACCTCAAGAGGGCGAGGACCTTCGAAGACTTCAGCAGGGAAATTAAGCCTGAACTCATTGATAAACTCAGAAGAGTGAGTAAAATCATTGTAGGAACTGTTTTAGAGTACAGTTGCTCAGCTTTTAATAAAATGAATGAATAGTTTTTAAGTTTATTTCCAGTCGGAGTGTTGGCTTTTTTTTATATTTTCCATTGCTCCTGATGAACTCCAAGACTCAAATAATTACATTTCTGTCTTCTACATCAATAATCACCTTATTATATCTTTCTTAATTAATTCCGAAATCTAACCCGAGTAAATTATGGGTGGATACATTTGACATCAATATATATCCAAGTTTTGAGGACGAAATTTGATTGTTTGAATTTTCTTACTTCAAAGCTAGTCAGATCACACCTCGTGCATTTTCCAACCAATTACTAGTCTATACTAAGGGAACGTGTATTTTGAATAAAATGAAAGTACGTACACCTTATTGCTTTTTCGAGTTCATGACATATTTTTTGCAAGCTAACATCATTTCCAACTAATAAGACGTACAGCTCTTTAACTAATTTATGTTCATGAATCTAACAATCAGTTTTATAATTGAATGCACACGGACTTTAATATTACGGATAGAAATTTTTCACTACCGAAAAGCTTCGTAGAGCACAGGTACTTTCTGTCTGAATTTTTAAAGCCTCTATCAAAATCCCAGTTAGCGGCTAAATGTTTTAATGTGATAATTTCTTTTGGATCTTCACGAATCTTTAAGATTTTCATCTGCAGGACAGCGCAAGTTCAGTATAAAGCAAGTTTAATAAGAAGTTCTTTCATTTCAGATCTATAAGAATGTTGAAGACGTAGATCTGTTCACGGGTGGTCTGTGCGAGACACCCCTGCAGGGCGGGATAATTGGGCCCACGTTTGGCTGCATCATCGGACTTCAGTTCCAGTTCTTGAAGCGCTGTGACAGATTCTGGTGAGCCTCACAAGCTTTTCTTCTGTTATACTTGTGAATATTCTTGTGTTAGAACTAATAAGTTCATTTGATTGTGATTTAATAAGAAGAAAAAAATATGAAGAAAATCTATAAAATTTAACTGATGAATAATTTTTTAGAGAATTTTGTAGAAAGTTGCTAAAAAAAGGTAATGAATCATAGCGAGATTTTCCACTGAACCATGAAATTTTGGCATTTTGTCTGTAACACATTTTATTACCTTTTTTTGGGGGGGGGGGGGGGTTCTACCACAAAGGAATCCGAAATGTAGACTGTTTTATATTTCATGTCTTGAATGACCTATTAAGACATTTCTTCTAGCCATAGCATTTCAGATAATAGAGGTCAGTAGCGACGCGTCCATATTGAAGTGTAATTGTCATGGGCAAAAGCACGAGGGGAACTATAGTTATGGACAAATTAAGCATAGCGATTTTACTTGATATATTCAAGCCCTTCTGTAATAGATTCTTGTCCTTCTGTAATAGATTCTTCTTTATCTCATAAATGATTCACCTCAGGTATGAAACGGGAGACCAAAATCTGCGGTTCACCGAGAACCAATTGGCCGAGATCAGGAAGTCCACAATGGCGGCCCTGGTGTGCAACAATTGCGACGTCGTCGACAAGGTGCAACTCGGCGTCTTCGACATCGCGCACAACTTCCTGTGAGTGCCTACGCGATAATCTGACGCCCACTCTCCGATATGAAGAGCGAGAATTAATTAAATGGACTTGGCGTAGTCATAAGATTCAAATAAGAATTGCAACCAGTAATACGAATTCAATATTCTTCCTTGTGTCTTGTTTTCACGAGATGGTTGTATACCGATAGTATGATTTGTATGTATATTATGTATATGTATGTACACTATGTATAGGTATGTAATTGTATGTATACTATGTATAAAAGATGTAGTTACTTTGAGCTTCCTCGCTTCAGGAACCCTCGCATCCCCTGCGAAGCTGTGCCCAAAGTTGACCTGAACCTGTGGCGCGACTCGAGCACCTGCGTGATCGGTGGCGTTGCAGTGAGTGTGGGTGAGACGCGCGCGGCCTCTCCGTGCACGCTGTGCCAGTGCCGTGCCAACGGCCCGCAGTGTCAGACGCTCAAAGTTGACTGCTTCCAACTTCGCTCCCGTGTTGCGCTTGAAGATATCCTTAGGGATAGTGTGTGCCGAGCGCAGTGTGGCAATATTCTGGACCCAACACGGCCTTCTCAAGGTCCACCACAACAGCTGCAGAGCGGCCCAGGTTTTTCTGGCAATGCTCCTAGAGACCAGACCGGCAACCAGGGCTTCCGCCCCGTTGCGGGCAGTGGTGGCTTCTCACCCTCAGGCTTCCGTGACGGGCTCGTGCCCCCGCCCCCACCACCACCCAGCTTCCAGGGCAGCACTGGGCGAGCGCGGCCCAGGCCTCCTGGCCCAACGTTCTTCAGGCCCCCTCCTCCCCCACCTCTCCAACAGCCTTCTAACTTACGTTTCCCCTTCCCAATTCCCCCGTTCTTACGCTCGTTGTTCAATTAAAACTTAGTGTCTTTCTATGAATTATATACTTATTACTCGGGGGTCTTTCAACTATGAAAAATAAAGTGAGAAATGTGTTGAGCCTTAGAGATAAGGAATAAATTTTGTGAGGGAGCAAACTCTCCGTTAGTTTAAGAATTTGATTTTTGTGGAACTGTGAGCAATTTCTAGCGCTCGAAGCTTACACGTTTAGGGTTGAGATGAGTAGTTTATTTATTACAATTTTGCCACGTATTCTGTTCTTCGTCATGTATTAGACGTTAAGTGCTTTTCAACTTTTTAGAGACGCAAAGGATAGGAGTATCAAAATGTCATGCATGGCGTTTAGATATGTGATGAAAGTCATTGGACAAGCAAGCATCAGCTGTTCTGGAATCGTGATCCCATTATATTCGTTGCTTCTGGTGTCTGGTATGTTATTTTTTTTAATATTTGAGAACTTGATTAATTGATTATTTCGCGAGAAAAGTGTAGGGTCCCCTTCATTCATTCCGTCATTTTTATGAATACATGAACACAAAATTTTGCTGAAAATATAAATCATTTTTCTGTCATAATTTCAGTAACGTGTTCGGAATTTCATTGAACGATCTAATTGCGATCGAGGTATTAATTATATCTGCAATTTTTTGGTGTGAATAATCGATTGTAAAATTGTTACAATTGCCGCAAATTTTATGTTAGTGCAATCTCTTCATAATTGTGACGAGGTAGAGGGGGAACGGAGTTGTCATAAATCCAGCTATTTGTAATTAGTCATAATCAGGGCAAGTGATATTAATTTTCACACCCTCAGCAGAACAGAGTGAGCAAAATTGAAATCCGGTATTAGCTAAGCTCAATTGTAACTGCATCGATCTCACCTTGACCATATTTGTTAAAATTAAGCGGCCGCTAAAGTTGGTCGTTACATTGGAGTTGTAGCCGCCCAAAGGGAGTGGTGCAAAAATGGCTCAAAATCTCTTATAATTAAATTAAATTTATCACCTCTATCTCGCCATAGAATAACAGGTCTGACAGCTATTCTCCATCATTGTGAACTAGCCCATGGCGATTACCATTGGCACTGAACAATTAACGAAATAGATTACCATTTCATCACCTCACGAATTTCTAGGTTCAGCGCGTTGTCACTGACTAATATTGTACAGCTGTGGGAGACCCAGACATCGCCGCACGAGACCCAATGAGCCTATATGCCTGAATTTCTAGCGCTAGTGAATTTTAGATTTTATTGCAAATTTTAAACATTCCGAATAGAAGTGTCTCATATGGTAAAGAAAATAAGCACAGCTTAAATCCAGCGTATAACTGTTGCTAATTAGGCTTGCGTCTTCCTTGTAGGTGCTGCACCCCATTTTTCAGATTCTGCTACTTTTAATATATAAAATAAATTATTAAATTTAACAGTGTTCTAAAATGAGTAAATGTGCAAGCCTGTGTCAAGCTTTCGCCATTTTGGCAATACTAGTGATTATTGAAAGGTTGTATATAATAGATATATTAGTGTATATAAGCGGCCTGTTCCATCGTCAGTATAGATGCTTGAGTAGAGCGCCTCCTATTGGCCGACAACGGCGGTTGCCAGACGGGAGCGGCTCGTGCATCAATAAATGTCCTTATTTCATTGTGCTTCGCGAGGGCGTGGAGCTAAAATGCTTGTAATATTTCCATCATTATGAATCATATTAATAGTAAATCATTATTGTTGAGCAATAGAATTATTTCCCGGAATTCCAAGCGCCATGTTTGGTCTGATGATCGTTGTAGACGCGGCTCATGGTGAATTGTAGAAGAACGACTTTGACGCTATAACGTGCACCAGTTTCATGCCACACAACGAACGTGTTTTTAGGTCAGGCCTTTCCGAAATCTTAAAACCACTCACCTCTCAAGTTATGTAAATCCACCCCAGATCCCAGGGGTGGACGAATGCGAAAATGTATCATCAAGTTCACTTGTTTTTTGTCACTTGCTGCACAGTATAATCGAAACATACATTTCAAAATTGTCTCATCAGAGACATACTCCATCCCAGCTAAAATTCATCAATGATCCCCATGGCTCATTGAACTCCTGCAAAAGGTGATTTATATTATTCATGTACAAAAGACACAATAAATTGTATTTCATCACTAACTAAAGACCCGTTAAGTTTATCATTCATTATTGAAGAAGTGCCTTGAGGTGCGTGGTTGACTCCATCGTCACCTGAAGACATAAGCCTCATAAGGTCGCAACACACGCCAGCTGATGACACGTCTCGAGAGGCCTACGAGCGGGAGCAGACTATGCAGAGTCCGATTAAATTGAAATACACTATTGCTAGCTCGGAGTTGTACTGTTAGCTACACAGACTGAACACAAACAAATACAGAAAACGAAGCCAGGTTAGCAAATGTTCGTTCCAGGAAAGCACAAGTCTGAAAATATACTGTAAGCCAGTTGTTCCCATTATCTCTGAGGACAATTAATGTACCAAAATATGGGAACGAACGTTAAATTGGAATGGTGCCAAGGACTTTCTTGGCAACAAATCGTCTTTCGCGCGGTTACTAATGATTTAACATATAAATAAAAATATTGCGGAATTCAAATATCGCATTCAGGCAATGCTACATAAAACGTCGGTTAGGATGTCGCAGATTCGGCTCAGTTTTCTCAAAGGAAACCCACTGAGAGTGGAAAGTTGTCAGTGAAAGTTTCCAACCTAGCGTCTTAAGCAGGAATCGAAGGTCAACAGTGCGAAGTGGACAATCAACCCGGATCAGTCAATCTCTCCGGCATAGGTAATGCTTGTCTGTCTTATTACGAACGCCTAAGTGAATTTTGGTTTTTACAGGTTAAAAAATCATACATAGGTACCAGTTTTCGGTTCCAAGTAATTATAGGACGAGAGACGGCAATTGAGACACCTATCAGGATTAGAAGAGGAGTGAAAAGTTTTCATTCTTTCATGTACGCACATCGTGGGAGAACAATTTAAAAATATCAGCAAATAAAGGATATTAATAATAAACAGGAGAATCAACTCAATCTATAGTGAATAATGCACACAAACCAAAAAGCAATTAATGAATAATACACGTTATAAAATAAAACTAATAAATCATAATAACTGGAACTGGACTACTTGAATAACGCTGAATCGTTCTTTAGCGGGCGTGAGCGCAGACTGGGGCAATGCTTTAAAGCAAGTTTATCATACCAGGAAGTATGAGTAAACTTGCACTCCAGATGAAGGAGAGTGCATCAAAATAGCGCCGCATTGATGCATTACAAACAGTTTCTTCAGTTTGAGTTGCCTAAATGTAGGTGATCGGACTTCATCCAATTAATACCGCAGCAGGACGAAAGAAAGAACTTCATTCCGTCCCACAAGCTTCGTAAGGTCTAAACATAATTAATTCCAAACAATTCCTGAGGAATTTAATGTCATAAATATTTGGAAGAAAATATCACGCTTCGTTGACAAGCGGATTGCATAAAATACTTGTGTACTTCTATAAATGAATATTCAACAAGGAAAATAATAAAATTCCACAAACCAGTTACAGCTGCGCAATTCTGCTTGGAAACAGCAGAACCAACGGAGATAAATGAAAAATTTCACATGAGTATGAATCCAAAATTCGAAAGAATACACGCGGCTATGAACAGTAAAAAGCAGCACAAGAAATACTACAGTAAACCCTGATATATTTTGGATGAAATATATCCCATCTAAAATAATAAATAACACAGCTTTCAACAGCAACCTTTTTTGGTTGCAAAAACAGATTTGCAGGGTCTTGCCCATGCGCAAATGACAGCCCTGAACATTTTCGCGGAACAAAATTCAGATTAGCACTTAACAAAACCGCCTAAGGCAAAAAAATATATAACTTGAGAAATAAATTATAGATATGAAGTGGATAGCTCATAACATTTTCAAGACGATTAAAAATTTCCTTCAGCTATTTGAAAATGAAGAATTTCCGAAGAGAAAGAAGAAGTTTAACAAGGGTAAGAATCGCAACAAAGATAGACAAGAAAATAATTAGAATAAAATAGTCAAGTTTAACAATGAAAGGACTATAGCGAGCAACACATGATCACGGAATAAAAAGGGGGTACGAAACCTCAATGACTTACAAATGAGCCATCAACAAAATTTGCGATTGCAGCCAATTTTTCACTGTTAGCGCAATATTACACCGAATTATCGGATAACTGACAGAAACATACCTATCGCATGAAACTCAAAGACCTATCAATAAAATGACAGAAACCAGTTTAAAAAATGATCCTAAATGCAAGAGTGTGGATACCATCGAAGTAACTAGCACAGTGGATGCAATTAAACGTTATTTTAAAGGCAGTGGCGTGAAGCTGGCAGAGTGTCCTTAGGGCAGACAAATATCCCTAGGTAATATCTTCGACACATCTGAAAGGTGAAATCCAATGAGAAAAATTTGTTTCAATGCAATTCTCTACTTTAAGCCAGATCGTAATAAAGTTTCTCCGCAACCCAGAATGAGAGATCAAACTAGGGACAAAGTATCAAGAGATAAGGATTCCAGAACACAGCTGAACTATCGCAAAAATATGATAGATTATTAAATCGTAACAAGAAATTATAATTTGAAGCATATTAAAAATGTGAATAAGAAAATAAAATTATTTTTCGCTACCAAAATATCCATCATGTCTCTCAACACACCTACGCAAATTGCCAGACATTTCTGGGTCCTGAAAATTTTCAAAATGCCTTCAGCAACAGGCCTATGTATTACTTTCTGGGTCGAGTCATGGCGTCATTGAAAGTTCTTACATTGGACGAGCAACAAAAACATCGCCGCCCCATATACAATCAAAAATTTTCCAGCTATTGACGCAGCATCTAATGAGGTTCCAAGTATCACCGCTGGCCTGTTAAGCAGGAGAAGGCAAATCGCTTTAATCTTTGACATTTAATGCAGCATCGGAAGAGCAAACATCATGCTCAATTTTTGGTTAAATCACACAGGAAGTTCTCTATCTTTATCATAACAAATTACACATAAGACAATCACACATTCCATAGAACTTGACCATAACTTTAATCTTTGACTTGACACCGTCATTGGTGACAACCTAATATCTAATACTAAAACAAATGTCTACTGGAGCAGCCATTCATCACGTCAAAAAATAGAGAAATGCTGTTCAAACTCAAATAAACATTACTGAAACTAACCAAGTTTTTAATAGTACAGTTTGGCCAGATTAATATAAAAAAACAGCCTCAGTAAAAAATGCTTACTCCAAACAATCTCATGAACACTAGCCTCTTCGTTGGACACTAAGATATTTAAAACCACTGGTAAATTTATCGGGATCCTTCTAAAATCTTCAAGGAGAAGGGCGGAAAAAGGAATTCAACTAAAGATCTCTTCATTGGATGGAAAGTATTGTAGAAAATACGAGTTATTTGGAATGCATATTTAGCATCAGATTGTCTTGGCAGTAAGAGATGTAGTACTTGCATTGCGCTTCTAATTGAAAATCGTAGTTAGAATAAGGGAACAAGGCAAGTCCAGGTTCTCCTGAACGTAGGTGAATAGGCGGGGTTAAACAAATCACTTAATTGGACCTTGCCTTCATAGACTTCCAACAAGCTAAGGTTTTTGACATGATATCAAATTTTTAACCAACTTATTCTAAACAGTACACAAAATATCCCGTGACGACTATAATACTTTACTGCATGCCCATTTCGCTCGTAAATTTATTACAGGAGTTAATATCTAATTCAGTATGCCACTTTCTGACATAAAATCTTCCTCTATTCCGACGCGCGTTGGATCTGATGGCGGCGGTGGGCGAGTTGGGCGCGTGACTCAGTTACCTAAGCAGGGCTTTGATTTCTTCTTTCTCTGCAGCCTCCAGGTACGTCGAGCCGTCGGGCGCCCGCCCATCCTTCTTGGCACCCTGAGAACAACAAAAACACAAAATCAACAATGAGAACAACATCACAAAATCCCTGAGAACAACATCACAAAATCCGTTCACTAAACAAGTCAGTGTTACCTCGTTATTCAAAGATTTTTATTCAAATGCACATTTAATGAAATTAGCAGTAGCATAACACACTCAGTTTTCTTGCATGAATTTGTTCAGCCAATTTTTGTTCCAGCAAATTCTGAGGAACTTACATCAGATTGCATTCTCAGCACACTAAAAAGATGGGATTGCATGGTTGTTCAAGGTATGTATATGGGATTGCATGGTCATCAATTTAAGGTTGTTCATGTCCAGATTTGGGTTAGCCAAATGTGAAATTTACTTCATCACTCCAATGAACCACAAAATAAGTTACTTTCAGACATCACAGGTATTGCTCAAATAGGTATGTATTGCCATAAAAGTTAAGCAGGGAATACAAATCTTCTTTTGTGCATTAAGCTACGTATTACCATATGCGACTGCATTGCATTCAAATTACCCTTGAGCATTAATTATTTGCAACCATTTTTTGAACAAATGAACAACCACACATATGACATGAATATTTAGAGATAATGCCTGGTTTGTCTCCACAACTCACAGCTTTGAGGAGAGACTGGACACACTTGGTGTGGCCTTCATAGATTGCAGCCAGAAGTGGACTGACACCAAACTTGTCACTCACCTATGAACAAAATGAATACGTAGTGAGCACGTTGACAAAAACTCATAGGTATATGCTTCCACTTTTTGTTAGCGTACCAAGTCTTTGATTTTAGACATAAACAGCAGCTGCATATCCTATTAAACTTCATAAATTTTCATCTACACTTAATTATTTCTTTGTTAATACAGTTTGTTATCTGAAATTTCATACCATATATAATATATTATAAATATGACGCAATTACATCATTGAATTTATACCTAGCAACACTCGCGGTTTCAATTTAGATGATGTTAATTTTTTAGAACCAAAATCTAAACTCTTTACCAATTTCAACAGATGAAAATTATTGTCTTTTCAGTCTAGCATATAAACAATTGTGCAAATAGAGCAGGCCTATAAAATCACACAATTTCAGTTTTTTCATAATTACTTTTGCAGAAATGTATACTACTTTGAAATTTGTGCCAAACTTTTTAGCTTCTACTATTGTCGATGCTAAAAAATTGTCAGAGTTTAATTGCTAGTTGTTTTAACTAGGAAGCCAAATTAAGCATAAAAAACAAGTCTCACACAAAGTAGATATCTGGTGGTCACTTTTTGTATTTAATGTTATTATGGTAGGTCCTGCATGACTACAGCAGTTCATATAGGGCCTTGTATAATGTTACTCAAGATCACATTTGAAATGTTGCTAGGAAAGTCAGAAGCATAAGAGCAGTAATCTGCAATGGACTAGAAATGTTAGAAGCTACTGACACATTAATGAATGAATGGAATTATGTAAGCTTATTATTAGCTTAACTAGCACCTAAACACAACATCATATGGAATACCTATATACATAATTCTCTATATTCGAGAATCACACTAACATGTAGGTACCATAAAATGGGGAGACATGGACCACTTTTATCAGTTACCTTATTCTGATACAAACAGTCGCATGTAAATATATAAAACTTATCCCTTTATTGCATTTGTATGCCATTCATGGTAGTAAGTCAAGAGCTGTCAACAAAATTTTCTAGGGTGAGAACTTTCTGAGTATAGGGGTTTCTTTTATCAAATGTCAAAACAGTCCAATTCACCCCACCAATGATCCAAGTCACCCTGTTTTACAGTATCTTGCAATCTGCAGATTATGAATAACATTAATAAATGCTTACTAAATTATCTATGTTAGTTAAAAAATACCATACCCAGTAACACCCACATGTAACATAGGACTCTCATTCATCTTCATTTATTAAATGATGAAAAAGTTTGATAATCAATTTTTGGAAAATAGTCCAATCCACCAGATTATAAAGTCAATAGAAACCTTTAAAAAAATGAAATGTTTATTCTACCCCCCACCATTTAGTTTTCTACTGGCACATTGTGTAATAAAATTTTAGATCCATACCTACTACGGTAGGTACCTATATCCTATACTATTCCTAACATTATGGGTACTATTGCAAAAAACAAATAGGAATAAATTATATTACTACCTTTAGGCTTCACACAAACAGAAAAATCCATGAAAATATAATACATTAGGCTAGATCAATGTTATAGTCTTTAAACATGTAAGATACTTACATCAACATCTGCCCCTCTGCTGAGAAGGAAGTTCAGCACGTCTAACTGTCCATAATCAGAGGCCAGGCACAGTGGGATGCGGCCATCAATTGGATCATTCACATTGACTCCCTGCAATACAATGATTTATTAGGGCATGTAATAAAGCTCCGCATGCAACCATGACAGACTCAAGGAAAAGGAGCAATAAACATGATTCACTGCTCCAAATAATGATTAAAAAGGGAGAATGAATGGTCTAACCTTTATAGTATAGTTACCAATACCATTAACTATTTCAATTTGTTATTTGGTTATTCAATAGCCTCTGATTTAATAACAATACCATCATGAATTTTGTAACGTCACTGAGAGTTTATACAAGTGAAAAATATGTTATTAAAATGACATGGAAGAAGAAATTCTTATATATGCCAGTGTGATGTAACGCAATAATTTGGCTTTGCTATGATAGAAGGAATAAAACCAAAAGCCAAGAGGAATAAGAAAGCAAAAAATGATCTAGAAGATATTTCACAACCAAATTAAGTACCTAGCATTATAAATAAGCATTTGTGGTGGTATCATTCGTTCAAAAGCTGATGGAATGGGAAGTTCTTAAAGAAAAAAAAAAAAATCAACAAATAATTGAAGAGAAATCTTAGGAGAATATTGCTGATTATAGAACCTGTAAGTAATTATATAATTATAATTATATACGGTACTCATCATTATTCCGAATAAAAGTACAAAGTAGCAAAATAAAAATGTGCAATAGAAATTATCCTCCATGCAACTAAACATGCTACAAGGGCATACCTTTTCCACAGCTTCCTTAACTTTTTCAAGATCTCCATTCTTGATGCCCCATTCAAAATCACTACTGCTCATCTTGATGATCTAGTAAAATCTGTAGAAAGCAACTAGAGAAATGTCCTGAAAATCCATGAGAAAAAAATTAGGATAAATCAACAATTTATGCCTGCAAGAAAATCAGACCCTCTACCCAGGCTTGGAGATAGGATCAGAAAAATGTCAATTTTTACAAATTATTTTGATGGGTATACCGTAAAAGGGGGTAACTTAGACTACTTTTCTTTAATGATGCCATTTTTTTACTAGCCAAATTAAACTTAAATTGAAACGTGCAAAATACAGGTCTATACTACTCTAGGTTCACTCACCATAAATTGCTGGCTCCTGCCTCTCATAGTTTTGATGTAATTTCAAAAAATATAACTCAGTACTCACAGCAGTGAGTGACAGAGAGCGCATTTTCTTGTTGACGAAAACTTGAGGTCATGGACAGATGGACGGACAGACAGACAGACAGACAGACGGACATGGCAAGCACAATAGTGCATTTTTTCCATAAATGAGAAAATGCGCTAAAAGTGATGGTCTTTGTTACCACAGCTTTTGGGGTAACTTAGACTGGGTGGTAAAATCAATTATATTTTTTAGTAAGATAACTCCAAATAATTCCAGGTTTTGGTGCATTGCATTAGAACTCTTCCAGTTACATATGCAAATGACAAATTAGAGGAGAGTGTCATAGTTTGCAAATGAGGGCTCCACCCCCGAATGGAAGAACTTAGACCATGTGTCAGCCGTGATGGGGTAATATTGACCGGCTTGGAAATTAAGTTAAAATTACCATATATAAAACTCTGTAGTCTGAAACAAAGAAAAAATGGTAAAATATGTTATATATGGTAATTTTAAATTAATTTCCAAGCCGGTCTATGTTACCCTGTCAGGGCTGACATTAGGTGGTCTAAGTTCACCCATTTGGGGGCAGCACCCCCCATTTGCAAACTGTGACACTTTCCTCAAATTTATCATTTGCATATGTAACTATAAGAGTTCTACTACAATGCACCAAAACCTGGCTCCAGTTATTTTACCAAAAAATAAAAAATTGGAGGGGGTTCTATGACGTAACTTTCTATTGTGTTACGTAGCCTTAGTATTAGGCCTTTAATGCTCATTGACAAAATTTTTCTATGTCAAATAGTTTTTGAGTTTTGGGGGTTTTTGTTAAAAAAACTAAAAGTGGTCTAAGTTACCCTGGGCATCTAAGTAAACCCCTTTTATGGTGTAAAGTCTTGAAGCTTACAAATGTGTTGCTTTATAAAATTTTGAACTCCTGCAATACAGCACTACTATGCTCCAATTAAAATTAGGGTTAAAAATTACAAGCATATCTTAATTTTTACATCCTAGTTTTATGATTATTTACTGGAATTATATCAATATACATATTTGATGGAAACCTATAAAGAGCTTGCCCAGCAAACCATTGCTTTCAGCTCAAATTTCTCTAAAGGCCCGTTTCCACTACGGGACTGATTCTGAAGGATTGAGACTGACCTGAGACTAATAAGCCACATGGCTGGGCCTGAAAACTGGCGTGTGTTTCCACTTCCTGCTTGTGCTGGACCGAGACTGACCGTCTGGGCTACCACATTTGCTGGCCTTTGAAGATAGATTATGCTGCCGCTCTTGCTTCACTAGCTGTTGTCACAATGAGCAGGAGCAAACAAAGATCTATTTACCTAATAGCAGTTATGAAACACAACAATGGTTGCAAACTTCTCATTAACTTAGTTCATCTGTGTAATAACATGCATTCACCAAGGGATTAAAAAACAGCATTATCTTATTATACCTTTAATGTGTCGAGAAAATTAAATGTAATAAATATGTCACAATGTTTAACATGTCTGGTTTTTGGTCTATAGATTTAGATAGGTATCATAGCATGTTTCACAAATGCCACTGTGCAGAAAGTGCATGAATATTGCAAGATCTTTGGCGATGCTTCAGTAGCAAAATTTACGCCTTCAGAAAATCTTGCCGACACATTTAGATTGTAATTCTAGCATTTAATATATTTGTCAGTCTTTGGCCAACAATTTAGAAAAAAGTAAGGTTTCCGGTACGTTGGATGAATCAGGATGCAGTAAAGCTTGTCCGGAAATCAGTTGCGATGAGTTCCCGCCAAAAAAATGTAAACAAAATGTAGTTGCAGTCACATTAGAGCAATCAGACTGCATCATCACATATTCAGTTGACACTTGCTGTATAATCGGGCTGTTTTTAGGGTAAAATTAGTTATTTGGGGTAACACGTGCATGCAACCTTGTAAATAAGTTCGTGGCTTGTAAATAATTTTTCATTACTCAGCGTAAATGGCTTTTCATTAAAAATTACCTGGCAACGCATTTTGAAAATGGTCGGCGACGCTTTGGGCTTAAAAACCCATATATTGGCGACGCTGCTTCTACCTTCTGCACCCTGGCACAAATGCTACTACCGTAAAATGGGGTAACTTAGACCACCAATTTTTTTTATAAATGATGCCATTTTTTTGCTAGCTAAATTAAACTTGAATTGAAACATGCAAAATACAGGTCTATACTCTAGCTTCACTCATCATAAATTGCTGGCTCCTGCCTCTCATAGTCTTTATGTAATTTCAAAAAAAGTGATGATCGTTGTTACCCCAGCTCTTGGGGTATCTTACACCGGGTGGTAAAATCAATTATATTTTTAGTAAAATAACTCCAAATAACTCCAGGTTTTGGTGCATTGTAGTATAACTCTTCTAGTTACATATGCAAATGACAAACTTGAGGAAAGTGTCATAGTTTGCAAATGGGGGGCACCGCCCCATAGTGAGGGAAATGTGACTACCTAATGGCAGCCCTGATGGGTAATATTGACTGGCTTGGAAATTAAGTTAAAATTACCATATATAAGACTCTGTTGAGTCTGGAACATAAAGAAAAAACATAAATAGGCTGTCAAACATAAAATATGTTATATATGGTAATTCTATATTAACTTCCAAGCCAGTCTATGTTACCCTGTCAGGGCTGACATTAGGTGGTCTAAGTTCCCCCATTTGGGGGCGGTGCCCCCCATTTGCAAACTATGACACTTCCTAAAATTTGTCATTTGCATGTGTAACTCGAAGAGTTCCACTACAATGCATCAAAACCTGGAGTTATTCAACCAAAAAATAAAAAAATTGGAGGGGGCTACTCTGACAGGCTTTAAATAATAGCTCTTTTTCGTGGGTCACATTTTTAATTTTTTAACCTATTAGATATGCAAACTTTTTAAATCTTTCTATTGTGTTATGTAGCCTCAGTATTAGGCCTTTAATGCCCATTGACAAAATTTTTCTATGTCAAATAGTTTTTGAGTTTTGGGAGTTTTTGTTAAAAAAACGAAAAGTGGTCTAAGTTACCCCGCCGGTAAGTTACCCCATTTTACAGTACTATTATTAGTTATTGTGTTTATTTACTATTTACTTAGTATACATACACTGTAAGTACGATAAGATAATTAAGATTTTCAATTGATGGACGAGTGAATCTATGTCAATAAAGAGATAAAATTGGTTAATAAGAAGTTAGGAAGTATTATTTCCATTTTTCAATGTCCATGGATGCCATACCCAGGATGGTGCTGTTTTCTGCGGATTAATCCGGCATAAACGAGGCTCCAAGCCCTTCTACTGGCGTACAAAGAGCTAAAACAACGTTATTGGCACACACGCCCGGCGTACGTCCGCATCTGGCTTGTCTCAAAGTACGTCTGCATCTGGGTGATCTGGCTTGTCCCGACGTACCGTACGTCCGCGGTCCGCATCTGGCTTGTCTTGGTGTACGTCCGCATCTGGGTGATCTGGCTTGTCCCGACGTATGTCCTCATCTGGTTTTGAGCATTTTAGTGCATACTAATGCGTTTTAAGGCGATTTAGGGCCTTCTAATGTGATCTAGTGCGTTCTATTACGATATAGTGCGTTCTATTACGATCTAGTGCCTTCTAATGCGATCTAGTGCGTTCTATTACGATCTAGTGCGTTCTATTATGATCTAGTGCCTTCTAATGCGATCTAGTGCGTTCTATTACGATCTAGTGCATTCTATTACAATCTAGTGCGTTCTATTATGAACTGTATTATATTATTAACAACATGGCACATTATAACAACATTATATTATTAACATTATGGCACATAACAACATAACACATCATAACATAGCACAGAATAACAACACACCATATTATAACATAACACATCATCACCTAGCACAGTATAACAACATAACACATCATAACATAGCACAGTATAAC